CAAGCCCGTCTAGATCTTTTTGGATTTTCTCATCTCCCCCTGCTTTGTGTCATCTGCAAATTTTATAAACATGTCATCTATGTCCTCATCAATAAAAATAATAAATAGCACAAAGCCAAGGAGAGAATCTAGGGACACTCAACTAAACATCTCTCTTTAAAGTATATAATGTCACGTGTGACTTCTTTTCAGGTCTGATTATTCAAACAGTTTTGAATCAACCTAAATGCACTATAGCCAGGGGTGTGTTGGAACCAGCTCCAACGTCTAATTGTTAAATTTTCAGTGCGAAAGTTTACACCTCAGAAATCAGCAAACATTACAAATCAGAGCTTGAATGATCATTTAAGACTTAAGAAACTGATGGAGAAAATGTTAATAATGCCGATTAAACTTAACAGTATGTTGAGCTTTTCATCTTAGAGAACAATGTGATAAATATTCACCAGCTCACTCCTGTGTATAAGCCCACATCATTTCATCTGGTTCACAGGAAGGGTTAGTCAATCAGTGTTCATTAAGCACTTAATAAGTACTTATTAATGTGCCAAGTACTGTGCTAGGGTTACACAGAAAGTGTGTGGGGGGGGTCCCTCCCCTCAGGGAGCTTACAGTGTGAGAGGAATACAATGTGCAAACAAATAAGTACATACAAGAGTCATACAGAGAAGGTGGAAGGTCACCTTAGAGGAAAAAGTTCTAGCAGCTGGAGTGACCAGGAGAGACCTCCTGAAAAAAAAAAAAAGAAAAGAAAAAATGAAGTGGTGTTTAAGCTGAGTTTTAAAGAAAGCCAGCTTTCCACTTTCTATCTGCAGCTCTGCTTGGTTCGAACACCAAGGAACAGAATTCTCTTCCCCACCTCCCTCTTCCCTCTTTCCACTTTCTTGTGTGTTGTCTTCCCCCATTATTTTATAAGCTGCTTGAGAGCAGGGATTGCCTTTCGTTTTCTTAGCACAGTGCCTGGCACGTAGTAGGTGCTTAATAAATGTTTATTGTACTACATGGTACTGTATGGTATGATATGGTATGGTATGGTACTGTAGCCAAGAATTGGAATTCCAAGAGGCAGAGGTGAGGAGGAAGAGTATTCCTGGCATGAGAGGAAGTCAATGCAAAGCAATGATGAATTCAAGTAGATCAGTATAACTGGAATTTAAGAGTTGATGGAGGTTAAGTAATGTGTAAAAGAAGGAAGATGTCAGGTTATTAAGCACACAACAGACTTCATCTTATGCTTTGCTGACAACTGGGTAAGAAACATCTATAGCACTGGCATCAAACTCAAATAGAAACAGGACCACTATACCATACATAAGGAATGTGTGCTGCTTTAATCTGGTTCTGAGCCTGTGCTTGACCCCTGGATACACAGCATTTCTTAGACCTACCTATGGAATAACCCTGTCATGAAAGGAATTGATACTATTTTAGTATCCCATTCTTGATGAAACCACACTAGCTCTTAGTGATCACCATTTGCCTTTATAGATGTTCACAAATAATTCCTTTAACAATACATTCTAAACATTTTCCCAGGAATCAATCAAGCTCAACAGCCTATTATAGTTTGAAGCCACTACTCCTTCCCTTCTTCCTTAAAAAAAAAATGCGATATTTGCCCTTTTACAGCCTTGTGGCAACTCTTCAGTTCTCTGTCATCTTTCTGAGATCACTAGTAAGGGCTCAGCAGTCACATCTCCCAGTTCTTTAAATACCCTGGCACCTAGTTTTTCAAGGTTGATTGACTTCAAGTCATTGAGGGCAGAAAGTAGTGTCTTCAGATCTTTACTTATTTTAGCTTACAACTACCTGTTAATCATTTTCATCCTTTTCTAGAAAGGGATCATTATCCTTTTTTTTTTCTTTCACAACTGTAGCTGGAAAAAAATCCTTTTTTATTGTTCTCAGCATCACCAGCAGTCAGCTTATCTCTAATACTCTTGACACTGCTCTTATAAAATCTTGGCATACCTTTTCATTCATTCTTAACTGCTCTCTCACTTCCATCTTCTGAAATCCAATTTAAAGTTCCCATTGCATCCATGTGAATCTCTTTAGACAACTTCCCCTTTTTTCCTCATTGGAATCGGTGTACATCTTGGACTTTCATTCTTGAGGGCTTCCTGTTCCTCTTGGGTCCTTACTTCAAGTGCATCATAAAACCTTAGAAGATCCTCACTGAAACTTTCATTTGACAAATATTACATGTCTGTCCTGTCCTCCAGATCAAAATAATAAGTCTGTTTCTATCAATTAACTAATAATTGTTTAAATGACTGTGCACAGAACAGAGATGCTATTTTCTGGTCTACCTCAAGACCACGCTTTTCTCTTTTCTTCTGGCAATAATCGACATTTGCCCAGTGTTTTACATACATGAGTCTTACTCTGTGAAATAAGGTACCACAATCAGTTTTACCTCCATTCTACAGTTGAAGAAAGTGACGCTCATAGAAATGAAGTGATTTAAATACCTATGATCAAACTGCTAGTAAGTATCTAGGAAGGACATGAACCTAGGTCTTCTGACTCCAGGGCAGCATTCTACCTCACACCACCTTTTGGAAGGGGCATGGCTGTAAGAAATGTTTTTACAAAGGAAGAATAGACAGGATTGGATAACTAGCAATGTGGGGCAAAAAGGAAGAGTTATTAATTTCAAGGTTTCAAGCCTAGGGAATTTGATAAAAATACAATGCACCCCAAACTTGATAAACTGTAGAACCCTGACAAAAATTAATAAGTCCAGAAGATCATTTAGTTTTGAGGGGCCCATGGTGGGGAGAAGGAGGAGTTTCAGCAGCCAAGAAAACATAATGAAGGAACTTTCCACTGTTGAAGAAAAGCTTAAATTTTGCCCTTACATAATTTATATCTAACTGCTAACTGTGGTACTATTTGAATTTCAGATAGCATGAGCTCTTTGTGAGTGGGGATTGTTTCATTAATTCAGATCAGATAGGCAGTGCCTCCCAGACTACCAGTCCTTTTTCCAGACCAGCTCTCAGAGCCAATAGCCAGGATCAAAGGTGTCAACCACAAGCGACACTCCTAAGTGCAGCTCAAATCAGATTAAAATGTAATTGGGAAATATTTAACAAATAAATAAAAATACAATACCACTATGGCAGCTAGGTGTCAAAGTGGATCAAGCAAAGGGCCTGGAGTCAGGAAGACCTGAGTTCAAATCCAGCCTCAGGAACACACTAGCTGTGTGACCCTGGGTAAGTCACTTAATCATGTTTACCTCAGGTTCCTCATCTGTAAAATTTGCTATAGAAGGAAACGGCAAATCTCTCCAGTATCTTTGCTAAGAAAGCCCCAAATGCGGTTAAGAAGAGCCAGACATGACTGAAACAACTGAACAATAACAGTGCAATACAACAGATAATGTTAATATGTGATTTTTAAAGTCATTATATGGCCAATAGGGATACTTATATACAGTTTAGTGGCTCTGTTTCTATTTGAGTTTGGTACCACTAATTCAGGGAAACAACTGCTGGGAAGGGGGTCAGCCATACTCACCAACTGTCAACCAATTACCATGCACAGGGCAGACAAGCCTGCCTATATAAAGCCACAAGGCAGCATATTCTGGGCAAATAAAACCACCACCACCATCTTGACCACAATCTCCCCTCAGGCTGTTGGAGAAAGCCTGGGACCCTGAACTTGAGTGTTTGAAATAGCATTGTTTCTTTCCCAGTGCCCTCAGCTATCATCCTGAGTAAATCCTTACAGAGATGCAGCCACTGCTCCTGCAGGTACCATAGCCACAGCTACAGAGGACCCACTTGTCACTAAAGTCCTTGGCACTTTCAAATAGTTCAACGTCAAGAAGCGATATGATTTTATCAGTGTGAGTGACATTAAAGCATTAGCATCTGATTTACTGCTGCCCCTTAAGGACCATAGGACTTATCATTTGATACAGCTAAAACCTTCCCTGTGACTTGTCTCCCCCAACAGAACCTGAAGTTCTTGGGAGCAGAAGCTGTCTTGCTTTTTCTCTTTATATCCCCAGAGCTTAGTAAGCACTTTTAATGCCTCTTCCTCTCCCTTTCCTTCTGCCTCCCCTTCTTTCCCCCATTCATTTCTCCCTCTCTCTTTCCCTCCTTCCTTCTTGCTTTCTTCCTCCTTCCCTCCTTCCTTGTATTCATGCCCCCAGTGCCCAGCACAGCGCCTGCACTAAGTTACTATTAGTTAATGGATGACACTTCTAGAGGCTAAGCTTGCCTCTACCGTGCTAGGTTGAAGCGTGGGATAGTTTCTGGAGGTACAGACTGGAAGGCTACCAAAGCGTGGTAGGAGCAAGGCCACTGCAAGGTACCCACTTAGACCTGGTCTCTTTCCAAACCACAACAGGCCCCATGACAGTCCCAGCAAAAGCACCTTGAGCTCTGATGAAGCCTTCTCAGAAGGATGTCTTTAAATGCTTAAAAAAGATATTTACAAAGGTAAAGGTAATTTAGAAAGGTTTGAGTATTACAAAGGTAACAATGGAACCGAAATAATTATCAAAATACTTTTTTAAAAGTTCATGAGTTTGGTCCCCCCCCCATACTTTAAGGAATGGATCATTTCTTTCCCTTCCAACACCACTCTGGCACTGCTTTAAATCTTGTATGTTTGAAAAAGAAATATGACGACCACAGGCTAGCCTTCTTTTAAAAAACAAAAACAAACAAAAAGACCACAGCGCTACTCCAAACAAGCTCATTCTCGCCATCAAGAACTGCCTGGTTATCAATCAATCACCCGCATTTATTGTGCTCTTATTGTGTACCAGGTAGGGTGCTCAGTACTAGGGATACGGAGAGCACCCGTCACCGCGCTGGTCTTTCATTTATACTCGCGGTCACCGCCCTGTTGGGGGAGGACGCCCCGCAGACATTATGAGAGAAAGCCGCATGCGCGAGGCTGGACGCCAGCTCAAAGCTCCCCCCGCCCACCATGACGCCAGGCTCGAAGCGTAGCGCGAGGCGACTCTAGGGGGCAGTAGTCGCCGGAAGTGACAGTGCGGGGCTGTTTGGGGTTTGGATTTCCTCTTCCGGGTGCTTCGTGAGCGCTTTCTGGTGTTACTTTCCGTTGCTCAGTGGCAGCTGTGGGTGACCTCGCTCCGAGAGGGGCACGTCCGTGTTGTTGCAGGTGAGGAGGGTCCGCGCACGCCGGGGGATGAGTGTGTGTGTGGCTGGGAGCGGAGGAAACTCGAGGCTCCTTAGCCCCCCCACTACCTGCCCCCAGCTCCCACCCCGGGCGGCCTCCCGTTTCCCATAGGCCTCTGCGGGCGGGCGCGAGGCGGGCCAGGCCGCGTGTTCCGCCCCCCCCCCCGCCCCGGCAGGTTGGAGGGGCTTCCCGAAGGAGCGCGCGGAGGTGGGGGCTGGAGGTGATTAGTAGAGGGAGGGCTTTTAGGCTTTTTACGGGCTTCACCCATCGGGGATCTTGGGCTGGAGGGTAAGTCCCTTTTGCCTTCTCAGTGCCTCAGTTTTCCCCCATCTGTTAAAAGGTGGGCTTTGACCAAGTGACGTCCAAGGGCCCTTTGGACTCCAGGCCGAGCCCTTCAAACCCCCAGCCCCAGGAATCCTAGGGTGCGGTTCTGACAACCCTGGGTCGAACTGGGTTCTTGGGGTCATCGATTTAGGGCTGGAAAAGGGATCTCAAAAGACCCTCTCATCCTTCATTCTAGGTTAAGCGACTTGCCCAAGGTCACACGGGTAAGTGACAGAGGCGAGATTTGAAACCGCGGAATTACACCAGTCACAGCCCCCGTGAGCACCAGCCCCCTGCTCAGCTGGACCCTCCTCCTCATTTTCCTTATCTGTAAAATGGGGAGATGAGGGTTGGCCTCCTTTTGCAGCAAGTGTCTGTGGCAGATAGGACTCACCCTAACTCGCAAGATAGTTGATGTTTGAAGACACTCTCTATACCAGAATCTCGTGATTCAGACCCTGGTTGGATGTTAATTGACGTGTCCTAGTCCTGGAAAGGAAGCCTCAGACCTGGAACTGAGAGTAGCACTGTGGTGACCTGGGAATGCAGTGCCTTTCAACAGAAAACTGGTAGTGTTCCTAAGGAAAACTATCACTGGAGTTTGCTAAATAGCCTCCCGCTACATACTAAATCACAAAGCTCTTTTTTTTTTTTAAGGCAATTGGTGTTAAGTGATTTGCCTAGGGTCACACAGCTAGTAAGTGTGAAGGGTTTGGTTGGAGGCCAGATTTGAACTCAGGTCCTCCTGACTTCAGGGCCTGAGCTCTATCCACTGTGCCACCTAGCTGCCCCAAAGCTCTGTTTTGATTGTTTCCCTTTGCTTTCTCCATTTCAGTGCCCCTTGAATCATATAAAAGCACAAATACCAAAGTCTGTGTGGTACGTGAATTGACATTATTAAATTGCTTATCTCTTCTGACCTTATTATGTGTCAGTATCATAAAAATAATTTATCAGAAGAGGAAGGCTTTCATTGCCTTAGATGGATTCTCTAAGCAGAGTTGTTTTTTTGGGGTTGTTTTTTTTAGGCAGTTGGGGTTAAGTGACTTGCCCAGGGTCACACAGCTAGTAACTGTCAAGTGTTTGGTCTGAGGCCAGATTTGAACTCAGGTCCTCCTGACTGCAGGGCCGTTATTCTATCTACTGCACCACCCAGCTGCCCCTCTAAACAGAGATTTTAAAGTGTATGTGTGTGTATCTGTGTCTTTGTGTCTATGTCCGTGTCTGTGTTTTCAGACTGAGTCCCCCTATCTTACCCAGACTAGAAGTTTAGGCACTACCCAGGGGACTTGATTCTACTACTTTTTAAGTTCAGGGTCTTTGACCTCTTATTCCAACCTGAGCCCCTTAATCACTCCTCTCCCTTTATGTCTCCCCTTCTCTACCCCCTTACCACATTGATGCCAGACTTAGTATGAACACTGCCATTGATTCTAGGGCACTGCTGCTCAGAACTCTTGTGTTCAAGAGACACCCATCTCCAACTCCCTGGATAACTGTTAACAGGGATTCTTAACATTTTTTGTGTCACCCAGTCTGGTGAAGCCTATGGGTTCCTTCTCAGAATAATGTTTTTAAAAGCATAAAAAAATGCATAGGATTAAGAGGAAACCAAATTATCTTGAAATAGAGTTGTCAAAATATATTTGAAAATAAAAACCTATCACAAGTTCATGGTTCGTAGATTTGATATATGGATTATTTAAGAGAAAAAGAATTGGAGTTGTGTAAGATGGGAAGGCAAGAAGGAGGCTGGGTTTGTATTGCTGTGGCTATTCCCTCTGATGGAGTCACAGCCTTTTAAAGATTTCAAAGTAGAAATAGCTTACAGTTATATAATGCTATGAGTTGCTGTTTTGATGGCCTATGTGTTTTAGAATGTAAGGTCTTAGCAAGAGCTGTGGTTTTAATATGATGTAGTGCCCAGAATGGTGTTTCATAGAAGAATTATTCATTTAAAATGAGTATAAGATCATGTGTCAACACATCATGGCATAGTGAACCAGCTTCAGAGACTGGAAGATAAAGGATGTGGTTTCAAGTTCTGCATCTGACATATTCCAGCTATGTGATCCAGGGCAAGTCACTTAACTTCAAGGTCTCTAGGTGACTCTCTTAAAACAGCAAGTTGCAGAGAAGGTGGCAGCGTTTTGGAAGAGTGTACCTACATGGAAGTTCACTATTCCAGTAAGATCCCAGGTCTTATAGGGATATGAATCCCTATAAGATTGTGTGAACTTTTGATTAACTTGTCATAAGCTTTTGATCTTGAATAAGCAAATTCTTGGGTCAACAGGGAGGAATGATTTGTCAGCAGAGAACAGATGATTTAAGAAAGATTTTATTTGCTCAGATTTATAAATCCACAGGGGAGATTTGCAATAATGAGCTTGAGATTAAAGGACAAGAGCTCTGTACATAGTCAAGTCTGCCCTATGAACTAATTCCTCAAAATTCAAATTGCAGCAAGAAAATGGGAGAAAGACATGTGTGACTTACAGACAAGAAGAACAAATAGCTAGAAAAGATGACTTACTAATTACTGTTATGGTTTTTCTTTGTTGAAACAATTTGGGATCTTGAGAGTACTTTCAACTCTGAACTAGTAATTGAATAGGCTTATATTCCTTATATTGGTGTGATAGGTACAGTTTTTTTTTGCAGAGGCTAAATTTGTATTGCAAACTTGTATCTATGCATTGTAATACATGTTTATATCTGAATTCACCCTGTGAGTAAAGTTTTTTAGTTATTATGACTTTTAATATGTTATTAACAATATTACCAGGGTAAGAAACTATACATAATGTAATATGTGGATCATTTTTAAAGTGAAGATTGATCAACCACATTTTGTTTTGTTTTTTTAATTTGGTAAGGTACCTTGGTTGAGACCATGACCAGGTGGGCACGAACCAACACAGCACATAATAAGAGGGCTTTGAAAGCAACATCATGGGAAGATATGAAGGAGGGCTCTACAGAGAGAGAGACCCGAAATCTACAAAAGGATAAACACTTTCATTCTAGTGGTCTCTCCCTTAAGAATGATGCACCCCAATCAAAAAACAAAAAGAAAACATCTTACACCAATCAAGATGTAAATGGCTTCATGGAATATCTAAGACAGAATGGGAAGGTGACAGCAGCAGATAGCCTGGAAATAAGAGAAGAAATAGCAACTGCCCTCAAAAAAGATAGTCGCCGAGAAGGAAGGAGATTGAAGAGACAAAAAATAAAGAAAAATGCCCAGGTAGGATCATCTGTGTTTGCTTTCTTTTGGTTCTTACTAGCCATAATCTGTTTTTATACTATTATCACAGCATTCATATTTGTATATACTTCAGTACTTTTGTGATCCATGACCTCATTGGTTTGAGTACTTCATTCACCGGTCTAGATCAGCATGTCTGTTACTTCTCATCTGCTCTAATTCTTTTTTCTTCTCTGTTTTATTTATCTACTTCTTATAATTTATTTATTTATTATTTATTTTTGGTTTTCAGCATTTGCTGTTATAAGATTTTTGAGTTCTAAATTTCTCCCCCTCCCCAAGACAGCATGCAATCTGATATAGACTATACATGTACAATCATATTAAACATATTTCCGTATTAATCTTGTTGTGAAAGAACAATCAGAGCAAAAAAGAAAAACCACAAGAAAGAAGAAAACAAAACAACAACGAAAAGAGAAACTAGTATGCTTCGATCTGCACTCAGACTCCATAGTTCTTTCTCTGGATGTGGATAGTATTTTCCATCATGAGTCTTGGAATTGTCTTAGAAATTCCAATTTAGATCATTATATTGCTGAGAAGAAATAAGTCTATCAAAGTCAGTCATTGCACAATGTTGCTGTTACTGTGTAGTGTTCACCTGGTTCTGCTCACTTCATTCCATCTGCTGTAATTCTTGTTCTTTCCATAGAACGTCATATATTTACTAGCACTGTATAAATCTAATGTCAGTATTTATTAGATTTATTCGCCATAGTTCAAGGTGCAACTTATAGGATACTTGTACAGCTTAAGATAATAAATACTTTTTAAATGATGTAACTATAAAAAATAGTGTCTGAATTATTTGGAACTTTTGTCACCAGCAGAATTCCTTTTGAAAGTATGATGTTGAAGATCATGGGTTCTCCTCTCACTTGAAACATGTACCAGAGGGCAGCATAGTCCTGTGGAGCTTTAATGCCAACTCTGCAATTAGCTGATGTATTTGTTAGGTTGTCTTTCCTGTTCTTCAGTTTTTTTATGTTTTGTCAAACTGTTTTCAAGCAAAACAATATTTTCTCATCATGGCTTCTTGTTCAAAAAATACTAATAATTTAGACCTTCCTTGAAGCAAAGTGTCACATATTACGTTATATACAAGGATGTGATGCCCAGTAGGTTTGATATTTCATGCAGGCATAATTCTTGCACTTCTTATGGTAACAGTTAAGTGCTTTAAAATCTCATTATACAAATGAGAAAACTAAGGACAGAGAAGGCACCATAAGATGTCATACTAGTTAGTTGCAGAGTTGGCATTAGAACTCTGTAGACTTCTGTTGTGCTCATTATATATATCAATTGAAAACCTTATTCTACGTTATACTTTTTTGAATAATATTTTCCCCAATTACATGTAAAAAATTTTCAGCATTCATTTTTAAGATTTTACAATCCAGATTCTATCCCTTCCCTCTTCCTCCCCTGAGATGGTAAGCATGTTATGAAAGAAAAAACAGGCACCCCCCCCAAAAAAAAGTGAAAAATAGTATGCTTCAGTCTGCATTCAGACTACCCATCAGTTCTTTCTCTGGATCTACATTATACTTTGAAAGGGACTTCTGCCAGTGGCACGATATTGATTTTTAGAAGACTTGAGCATATCTGATACACCATATGTAAAGGTACAGATGATGCTTTCTTTTCATGGCTTCTTGTCCTATAAGTACTTATCACTTAGACTTACTTGAATTGCAGTAAACTTCCAAAATGCCTTATATAAGATTAGGCTTTTCTGTAATTTATTAAACCTGCTATTTCTGTTATATTTTCTAAAGGTAGAGAGGTTATATCCAGGCATCTTGAATTAGCGTAATAGTCAGGGTAAGTAAGAGTTAAAGTTTGAGAGTCCATTAGTGTAATCTTGGTTAAAGTCTCTTCAGCTTTCTGGGTTTTGGTTTCTTCAACTGTAAAATCAAGAAGATGGGTCTTACATGATCATTCAGGTCTCTTCCACCTCTAAAATGTAAGGCGTTCCATGATGTTAGAAAGTTTCTTATAACTGTATTTAGAGATGACACCTAAGAAACTATTTCCCAAATGGGCAGATTTGAATAGAGAATTGTAAGCACTTTCTCTTATCGTTTGTTGTTGTTCACTCATTTTAGTTGAATCTGACTCTTCGTGACCCCATTTGGGGTTTTCTTTGGCAAAGATACTGGGATGGTTTGCCATTTCCTTCGTCAGATGATTTTACAGATGAGGTAACTGAGGCAAACACAGTTAATTGACTTGCCCAGGGTCATATAGCTAGTAAGTATCTGGGGCCAAATTTGAACTCATGAAGATGAGTCTTCCTGACTCTAGGCCCTGCACTCGATCTACTATGTCACCTAGCTGCCCTCTTTTATAATTAGGGTAGATAAAACCCATTATTTTTAAAACAAATTTAAAAAATCTAATTCATATTACATTTCAAATGTTTTTTATAAAAAGGGATGTACAGTTTCAAAATAAAGCTTGGACATATAATATGAGCATTAAAACTTAACTTTACACTAAACTTAAAACAATATGTTTATATAACCTTTTATAAATAGTGCATGGCTCTTGTCATCTATGCCCATTAATAGCGTTCTTCATAGTTCATAACAGGGTCAGTATTTCTATGCTATAGAACATGGGTCTGCAGCCTGTAGCCTTCAGGCTAAATCCTACCAGATGCCTGCCTGTTTTTGTATGATTCATTAGCTAAGATTGACTTTTGTATTTTTAAATAAAGTTTCATAGTATTTTAAAATGTAAAATTCTTAGTTCAGATTGTACAAAAACAGGCACCTGGTATGATTTGGCCCTTGGACATAGTATGCTGACCCCTGGTATAGAATATTCTTCTCTAACACCAAGTGTGATAAATTTTAATGCTGAGAGTGAAGCCATTCAAGAAATTAATGTTTGCTGATGAAGTTTTAAAGGTCATGTCATCTAAGCACCTGTATTCATCAAGAATCTGAATATGTTGAAGTGACAACCTAGCTTTAAGCAGCAGCCACTTTTGCAGTTGTACAAAGGTGTTTTTTCCCCCAGTGAACTAATTCATTCTATATTGAGAAGTCATTGGGGAACTGAAAAGTAAGAAAGCTCATCTTTTCCAGTTTGAATAAACAGGAAAAAGAAATGAAGACTGAGTTAGCTACATAATCCAAGGCAGTTTTTGATGTTCCTTTTTTTGCACTTGACTAAATTTTTATTTTGGATTAAACTTCTGATTTTATTGCTACAGCCAGCTTGTAGTGAGGAAGAATCTTCTATCAGTGAAGGTCACCACCTGTTCTGCAATTTAGTCGTCTTAGAGAGTAGCCTGGGGCGCTAAAGGGTTAAGTGACTTGACCAGTGTTACACAGCCAGCATGTGTCAGAGTCAGAACTTAAACGCAATCACTCAATCAGTAAACATTAAGTGCCTACTCTGTGCCAGGCATTGTGCTAAGCACTGGGGATGCAAAAAAAAAAAAAGAAAGGCAAAAGACTGTCCCTGAGCTTACAGTCTGATGGGGGAATCTTGATTGATTCTTGATGATCAAGGTCTTCTTGATTCCAAGAGTGGCTCTATGTCCGCTACATCACTTGGACTTTATTTTACTTTGATTTCTAAAATTCCACATTTCATATTTATATCTAAAATAATTTTTTAAAATTCACATGCAAATTTAGTGATGTTTGTTGCTGTGGACTGAATGATATGGAGATAGCAGAGTGCAATGAAGAAAAGGCTGAGCTTAGCCATGGAACTTGAGTTCAGTGCCTAGTTCTGCTACTTATTACCTGTGTGACCTAGGACAAATCAATTAATCTTTCTGGGCCTTAGTTACCTCTTCTGTAAAATGAGGAGTTGGACTAATATCCCTTCCTGCTGTAGAGCATCAAACCTATGGATAAGCTTCTTGTTTTTGTCCTTGTGAGTATGAGGGGAAAAAAAATATCCTTTCTTTGTTACGTTGGAGAATATGTGCCTCCCAAGAAACAATCATTCCATTTTCTTTAATAGTTATAAGATTAATTTATTAAATATAAAAATAAAACACTATTTTGAAATGTATAATGTATATCTTCTAAAAATGAAAACCTGTGCCTCTTTCTGAGTTGTGATGAGCATGTATTAAGGTTGTATCATACTATAATAATATACTTTAAGGGAAAACATGATTAAATTAAGTCGTCTTGACTAGTAATTTGAATCATAATTCACTTTGATTTGATTTAAATCAAATCCATGCTAGTTAGATGAAAGTTACAAATGTTGTGAATGCAGATTTTTAGGCTAATATATATGTCCTACAGTGAATTCAGATTTCTACCAACACCACGTCCATCACTGAATAATCTCAGCTTCATTGATTGCAGCTTTTTGCAGGATCTTTTGTATCCTTTTCTCTGAGACTCATGAGTAGGACACTTTGAGGATTAAAATTTTACAAGCATTCTGAGAACCTTTAAAGGGGCATTATGACATATTTCAATCTATAATAATTGCTTTATGATTTACAGAGCTTTACTTTAATGTCATCTAATGTAATTCTTGTAACTCCCCTGTGACGCGGATGATAAAAATGTTCTTATCCAATAGTATGATCATAGATGAGGAAACTGAGGCTTTAAGAGGGTGAGTGACTTGCCCAAGGTTATGTCCCTGGCAAGTGGTGACATCAGCATGCAAACCCAATCTTCTGAGTCCAAGTCAAATGGTGTTCCAGTGTACCATGCTGATTATTTTATCAAGTTGAGGTTTATGAAAAAGAAGTTAGATAGTAAATTAGACATGAGAATGGACAAGTTTTTAACGTATCACTGACAGCAAAGAATACTGTCATTTGGTAAAGTTAGTGTTGGGTTGGGTTTCTTTTAAACATTTTTGTTACATTTTGAGTTCTGAGTTGTCCCCCTCACTTCCTCCCAACCCCACATTAAAGAAGACCAACATTTGATATAGATATATGTGTGGAACTATACAGTACATTCTTCCATTTATCAGTTCTTTCTCTGGAGGTAGATAGCATTTTCCTTCATAAGGCCTTCATAATTGATTTGAATGATCATATTACTGAAAATAGCTTAATCATTCACAGTTACTCTTTGAACAGTATTGCTGTTGTCATATGCAATGTTCTCTTGGTTCTGCTTGCTTCAGTCTGCATTATTCATGCAAGTCTTTCCATATTTTTCTAAAACTAGTCTGTTCATCATTTCTTTTTTATATAAATTTAATATTTTCCCCCAATTACATGTAAAAAGAGTTTTTAACATTCTTTTAAAAAATTTTTGAGTTCTAAATTCTCTCCCCCCCCATTGAAAAGGTAAATAATTTTATGTAGGTTATACATGTGTAGTCATGCAAAACATTTTCATGTTAGTCATGTAGTGAAAGAAAACACAGACAAAAAAAAACCCCAATAAAAACAAAGAAAAGGTATTCTTCAATCTGCATTCAGATTCCATCAGTTCTTTCTCTAGATAGCATTTTTCATCATAAGTCCTCCAAAATTGTCTTCAACCCTTGTATTGCTGAGAATAGCTAAGTCATTCACAGTTGATCATCATACAGTATTGTCATTACTGTATACAACGTTCTCCTGGTTCTGCTCATTTCACTTTGCATCAATTCATGTAAGTCTTTCCAGGTTTTTCTGAGAGCATCCTGCTCATCATTAGCACAATCTGCTCATCATTTCTTTAAGCAAAGTAGTATTCCTTCAGTTAGTGTTGATTTTAAAAATTTAAGAACTTAACATATCTTTATCTTCTCAGGTTTGTTATCATTGCAGAAAGCAAGGCCATGGAGTTGCAGACTGCCCTGCTGTCCTCGAGAGTCAAGATATGGGCACTGGAATCTGCTACCGATGTGGGTCCACTGAACATGAAATAACCAAATGCAAAGCCAAAGTAGATCCAGCTATGGGTGTGTCTTTTCACTTATTTTTTTCCCCCCAATTAGTAAAAAGAGACAGGGGGCAGGCATGGTGGTGCACGGCTGTAATCACAGCTACTGGGGGAGGCTGAGGCTAGTGGATCATTTCAGTTCCGGAATTTTGAGCTGTAGTAGGGCTGCAGCCGATCGAGTGCCCACAATAAGTCCAGAACCAATACAATGAGCCCTTGGTAGAGGGCAGCCATGATGCTGCTTAGGGAGCCCAAGTCAGAAATGGAGTGACCAAAGCAAATAAAGAGGTCAGGGCTCCGATGCTGAACTGCAGTAGAGTTGGATTTTTGAGTGACTGCTATATTTTCAGCCTGAGGGAAATAGACCCAGTCTCACAAAAGAGGCGGGTGGTAGGATGGAGAAGACAGATGTTTCCATACTGGTTTTTTGATGATCAAAATTTAATTCTTGCCATGTACTTTGAAAATATAATTATTAACTGGGCATGGTGGTGCACACTTGTGGTCCCTGTTCTCAGGGAGGGTGAGTCTGGTGGGTCACTCAAGCTTGAGAACTTCTGAACTGATGGACCAGCTAGGTGTTCACACCAAGTCCTTCACCCAAGTCCTGTACCAGTATGGTGAGCCCTTAGGAGCAAAGGTGTGTGACCAGGCTGCCTAGGAAGTATCGAGCCAGATCAGGTCAGAAATGGAGCAGGTCAGTGCTCCTGCACTGATTAGTAGTGACATGAGGCCCTTGAGTAACCCCTGAGTTTCCAGCTTGGGTGAGGTAGAGAGAGACCCATTTCCCCATTCCCCCAAAGTAATTATTCAGCTGAATAAGTCACACATTTTTTACATGACCAGTATAGGAATTTGTTCTGCATAAAATAACTATGTTTATTTGTTATAACTATTTCTTTTTCCTTTTTCTTTTTTTCAGTCATGAGGGGGAGGTGGGAGGAAGAAAAAATAAATGCTTGATAATTTTTTAAAATTATGTATAAAATTATTTTTGAGCATGAGTTAATAAATTTGTCATGAATGTCCTAAATGAACCAAACACTGAAATAATTTTGCTTCCATGCAAAATACTTCTAAATAATGCCAGATTATCTGTAATAGGCATTTATGAACATGAATAAGACAAGAAATATTTATCTTTATAGGAGAATTTCCTTTTGCAAAATGTTTCATTTGTGGAGAGATGGGACACCTGTCTAGATCTTGTCCTGATAATCCTAAAGGACTTTATGCTGAAGGTGAGAACTATTTTTGGACATGAAATAGGACAAATGTTCATAAAAAGTTAGAATATAACTTTCCTTTTGATAAGAACATTTTAGTGGTTTGCAAACCCTTAGAAGGTCAGTTCTTTTCTGTAATATATATGCTATAAGCAGGAAATATGCTTTCCTTCATATATTAATAAATTCTATGCAAAGCAGCCAGAGCATATATATCAACATTTTTTTGTATACTTTGCCATAATTTGTGACAGTTATCATGTAGACTTTTACTTTTCAGTGTAGTAATAAACTGCAGAGGCAAACTGTATCTGTCGGCTAATGTTAGATTTTTTTCCCATGAGCGTACTCTTGTGGTTTCATGTACACAAATCTTTCACTCCTTAAAAGTAGACATAGGTTTTCCTTTTTAGGAAGTTTACACAAATGTTTGGTTTTTGATGATTGTTTTAGCCAAGTTAAGATAAAGTGTGTATCTTGTGAAAAATGTGTGGAGTACAGTCACTTTTTAACATTACAGGAATTTGATTTATCAGTGTTTATCACTTTAGTTTTTGTAAATGTTAATATATTTCATCTAAATGGTTTTGGAATTGACTCATATTTATACTTTCAATTACTCATGATTAAACCACCTCACCACATCTTTCAATAATGGAGATGAAACCTGAGATGGTTAAAGCGTTGCTCTCATGGTTATTCATCCATAAAATAATCCTGCAGATACAAGACCACTGTGTCTAAGACACAGGTGATGGACACCTCTCCTTTTATCCTATGGATTGCACTTGGTCTCTCTACCAACTAGAAGCTGAGTATTCCTTGACTTCTGTCTCTTCTTCCACAATTTCTAATCAAAAGTGAGAGTGGTTGTGGTTGAATGTAGGGGTTTTCCTCCCCTATAAAAGGCCAGATTTCTAAAGGTTTTACAGAAGATCCCACAGAACAGATAATGAAACATAACTTGCCACTCAGGGCAGAGAGGTAGGGGACTACCAGGATGGTACATTATACTCATTGTCAGATGTAGTCAAAGTTAAGGTTGTTTTTGCTTAATTGTTTTTCTTTGTCACTTGAAAGAATTCATGTGTGTGTAGGGGGTTTAAAATGATCAGTACAAAGACAGAAAGCAATCACTTTATGTATATGTTTGTATGTATATGTTCACATACACATTATATACACATACTGTGAATATATACACATGTATATATGAATACAACACACATATATATCTTGTAATACAATCAACTTATGAGGTAGATAGGAGCACCTCTTTTCTGTATGCAAGACAGACTTTGACAATGCTTTGTAAAATTAATAGTTATCCAGAGGTAAGGTGGATTGAATTTTTTTGTTCTTTCAACAGGTGGTGGTTGTAGACTTTGTGGTTCTGTGGAACATTTTAAGAAAGATTGCCCTGAAAATCAGAATTCAGGTGAGATCTCATTTAAAGTTCCGTATTTTCTTTGGTGCTCTCTGTTATTGGTAGCTGCCATTCAGAGACAATGGAAATTTAAATGACACCATAATTTCCTACAAACATGTCTTAATCTCTTGCCAATAAATCTTAACTCATGAATCTTTTCTATTACTGTAGTTGTTATCGTTGTATGTGTATATCAATGTCCATTGAACTAATTAATTAATTAGCTCTTTTCTAGTACTTCAAATGGGAGGGCTAACTAAGTAAATAGAATTGAATTGTGCTTTTTCTGAAAAGAACTTTACCTTGAAATACAAAGGAAAGCATAAAGTTTTACGTTTTAAACGTCAGTTTCCCTTGACTTTTCTCATAATTTTTTCAGTAGTTGAGTTTAGAAGAAGTCTCTTGAAGATTAACGACTTAGGACTGTAATGAACACTCTCTTGACCCACACAGCCAAAGCAAAGAATATTCTAGTTAATAGTTAACTTTTTAAAAAATAATTCAGAAGGCATTTCAAAATCTCTGCCAGTTTGTAGATGTTTCCACTGACTAGAATCCCAAATGAACCATCTTTTGCTATATACGCCAGCCTTGCTGATGGCCACAGGTACTTTCTCATAGATTTTCAGTTTTCCTCATACTAATTTTGACACTGAATGGTTGCATGGAATTAGGGCTAGCTGTTCTGAAAGTTACAAACCATTTGGTTATGAATGTCAGTGGAGAGTTAAGATCATCGAAATTCCTATATGAATAAAATCCTCATTTTAATGCAAGTACTTTTCTTTCCATTTTATCATAGCTTAAAAGGTTGACAGATTGATTGGCATGGCTGTCAAATCTTTATTTGGTCATCCTTTGGTAGAGATAATAAAATAAACCAAGAAATCCCAGATATTATAATGAAAAAAGGACAAGTGGGATACCTATCTAAAACCCTGTATAGTTTAAAACTCCTTGTACTTGTGGATTGTGAAGAACTTTGCAAGAATCTATTGGAAAGTTGAATTCTTTCATTAACTTATTCACAGTCACCTAAAACTTAAAATCCCTGGCATTACTTAAGGCAATGTATTGATTTCCTAAGAAAAAATTCGAGTAAAAAAATACAAGAGTAAAAATAAGATCTCCAGGGTTCCTGAGTTTGAGGTGTTTTATGTAAACCTGGAAGCAGAGACTTTGAGTAAATAGTCTGAGTGCTAAAATAGTAAGGCTCCTCTTTAAGTACATATATTATCAATGATTGTCTTACTGATTATAAGACCAGTCCTTGTCAATCCTGAAAGCCAGCAAGTGCTACCTGTGGCAAGACTTTTATGAAAGGGACAGGAGACTTTTCATAGCGTGTTTGTATAGAATAGGAAGCGCCTAGTGCTGCTTGTGAAGGGAAGCAGGTCAGCATCATCACAGCCTAGGCATCCTTTCTGTAGTCAAAATGTAGTTATAGGTTCTATCTAGTCCCCCTTCTTCAGAAGGTTCTTGGAACCCCAAATATTAAACAATGAAGACTTTGTGACTTTAAAAAAACCAAAACCATAATACTGCCTAAATATGTCTGCTAGCCCCTTACCACTCCCCCAGCTCCTGAAAATGCATTTAATCTTTATAACCTGGGCACCTCTTCACAGTCGAGTCTGGAGGAAAGCGAGACTCTACTACATCTTCAGCCGTGAGATTAAAATGATGAAGTGGAATGTGAATTCTCCCTCCTGGGAGGATCGCCACTTCCAGAATGACAGGAATGACAAGCAGATGGTGTATAATTTCACAGGTGGAATCTTGTGCATTTAAAACTGATGCTTCATAAGCCTTGCTGTTTACAGACTCTAGGAATTCATTGACTCACTAATGATGAACTCTGAGAAAGAAGAAAGAGCCTTCTCATCAATTTGTGCAATGCAAAGTAGTTGCTGCATTTCCCTAATTGGGAAGAGAAATTGCCTGTGGTACTCTGAAATCAAGAGTTATAATCAATTACAGAAATGCACACTTTCCTTTAGCAATGGAGTCTTCCCGCCTTGTGATTATTCATGTCAAAGCTAGTTACTTTACTAAGTCTGTGAAGCTCCCAATAGCTGTCTTCATTGTTCTTTTTTTTCCCTTTTTTCCTTCTTTTACAGATAACATGGTCACAGTTGGTCGTTGGACTGAAGGGATGAGTGCAGATTATGAAGAAATTTTGAAGGCTCCTATACCACAAAAACCGAAAAAATTAGTAGCCAAGGTTGTTAACTTTTGATAGCAGACAGATATAACACCTTATAGTTTTATAGTTTGAGAACAGTCTGAATGTGACAGAATTCCTTTTCTGGAGTTTTGTGGACTGAAACACTCATGAAACACTCAAAAACAAGCATTTGATGCTTAAATTGGTATTCTGGGGGAAACCTAGTTCTTAACAAAACAGCACCTGCAAAGCATGAATGATATCAGTTGATAAGAATCTTGCTTTCTCAAAAATAATAAAATAATTTGAACAGTCAAAAAAACAAGACCTTCTGCATATGGAGGTGAGCTTTTTATATTTTTATAAAAGTTACATTTCTTTATGTAATTTATTTGAGTACAATGGTATTTTAAGAGCTCAGATTTTTTTAGTATCCTAAAATTTATTCTGCTTTTGAATATTTAATAAAAATGACTCTTCCTATTTTGTACCTGTTGCCTTAAAACATCATTCCCAACTAAATTTGCTCTTCATCTGTTTGCCTATGTCATTGCATTCTGTGTCTTTGGAAACAAGATTCTTCACAAAAATGGAAATTGATCCCTTTTGGAAAAGGGGGAGGGATTATTACTTCTATTTTGGTTTTACTTAGAGGCACAGAATCATAATTAACTTAAACAGAACTGAAGTCTACTAGCATCTGTCCCCATTGCTCCTTGTCCTTGATTTTGGTGAGAGAAATTCTAGCAAAGGTCCAGGTGGACAGTTTTTTGTTGTATGGAGCAAATGGAGTATAAAACTGAGCAGTGTGAGCATGTATTTAGATGAGTCAGGGTGAGATGGAAGCAACGCCATGATGGAGTTAGAACACTAATCAGGGAGACATTAGATCCTTTGTTTTATTTGATGAATACATGCATACTTAATATATACATTTCACAAGACATAACTCTGCTATTGTACTGTATAATAGAGTGACTCGGGTGTATTGTGTATTTCATTTGAGATTTTTACCTGATTGGATACATTTATAACTAAAGGAAACAGCTGTGATTAGTTACTGCAGCTTTGCTAGCAAAATATTTACCAAATAAAAAAAGAGATACTTTTCACTGTTGTCATGTCTGGGGAACTGAATAATGTTGGTGTTTTTTTTTTAACAGGCTTCACTGTTTTCTTTCTGGAGTGAAATAAAAACACAAGGACAGCAAATATAATTCAATATCTAAGGGCTTAAAGAATTGGATACCTTTAAAAAAAAAAGGTATAATCTGATGCAATTGGATTGGGATTAGCAGCAGCCACCTTGGGAACTAAACACTCAAATTTGCTTTACCTGCCATGGAAGGAGCAGAATACTCTTGTGTCACGTGAAGCTGTGTATTTATTTAGCTGCCCCTCTTGTCCCTGTACATTTTCTTGTGCAGTCCTCAGGGCAGAATCTCCTCTTCTTTTCTGGTGGCCCCTTCGTTTACATTTTTAGGTAATCTTGACCCTTGGTTGTAAAATAAAGTTACTTTGCAGATGCCAAATATCTCATTTTGAAATGATGAATCTCAGATTTTAAAAAATGACTATTCTTAGGAATTCTGACAGGCCCTGAATAATGTGTATCTCTTGAAAGGAACTGTAGGTGAATGATAAAAGGCCCAGTGTCTCTCCAATGCTAAGTGTGCTTAGCCCAGGCCTCCTGAAGAAAGGGGCAATAATGCATTATCATTTGTTTCTTACTCTTAGCGAAAGATTCAATTCAGTCAGTAAGGATTTCTTTCAGTGTATTGATTTGAATGTGATGGGTAGGCATAGAATCTTAGCTTTACAATGAAAATAATTCAGAATTAAGTGCTTTGTGCATGCAAAGCACTATTCAACATAAGGGGGAATACAAGTCATTAAATACTGCTACTGCTCCCCATCCTTGGAATTTATAGTCTGATAAGACAATTAAGCATCAAATAGCTCAACCCCTTATTTTCCAAACGAAGCTGAAGTCCAGAGTATGACTCAATAACAGCCCAAATTTTTGGAGTCTTTAACACCTTTTATCTCCATGTGTTGCATTGACTTGCTTAAGATTACCCAGTTAGCGGCCAAGTCAGAACTAAAGTCAGGTCCTTGCGTCAAGTTCTGGTAATACCTACTCAAGGAGCTATGATTTTTTTTTTTTGTTATTGTTAGTATAAGTACTTCTGCTGCTGACTCAGATCAAATCTCCTTTGCCTTAGCTCAGGCTGTTTCTGAGGCCTGAAAAAAAAAATGTATTTCCTCATTTGTGACCAACTGGTGATTGATGAGCCACTTGATACATGGACTGAATGTCTGTCATCCAAGAACTAACCTTTCCAGCTTGTGGAATGTGCCAGGGCTAGGGTTTTGCTGGCATTGCCATGGAGAACCAAAGGTTATCAGAGGAGGACTTGAGTGGAGGCCTGTCTGACCACTTAAGTAGAAAATACCTGAACCCTACAAAATCCCCTGGGCCATTCCAAATGCTGAGATAGGTATATTACTTAGACATAGTGTTCAAATGGTTAAAATAAACCATATTTCTCCATTTAGTTATTATAATAGCCAGGGGTTAACCTGAAGAATTGGGGTAAATGAGCTAGGTCTGGGCAAGAAATAGCAAGGGGTCAAAGGTATGATAATCATAGTTCCCATTTAGGTGACACTTTTAAGTTTTATTCATTTTATTTTATTTTTTATTTATTCATTTTATCCTCACATTTCCATGCTCTGGTAGACAATACATAATATCCTTATTTTATAGATTAGGAAGCAGATGCATGATGATTTTCCTGAGGTCCCTCAGCTCGTAAGTGACAGAGCCAAAATTTGGATCCAGGTCTTCTGACTCCAAATCCAGTATTCTTATGTCCAGTTTGATAGCATAACTGGTGGGAAGCAGTAAGAATTGTACTCCTTTTCTTCCTATACTTACACAGGCCTTACTTAGTAGAGAATGTTCCAGGTTTGCTGATTCTAATGAGTATCCAAGTGGAGAGCAGATAAGTCTTTTCATAAGGAGAGGGACAGTTGCTTTATAACAATTGAAAGGGACTTTGGCAAATCAGTCTCTCCAGAAACCATGTCTTTGAGGAATTTCCACCCTAAGAACCCCTCACACAGACATTCCTCTCCCACACCCTCCATTTGATGACCTACCTCTCATGAGAAGATTTTTCAGAAGAGTCTCTCTGGCTATCTCTACAACCTTTTAGGGAAATGCCTAGCCACTGGAAATAAACTTTCCTTCCATAGAAGCTAGAACACTGATCAAATAAACACAGCTTTTGTTCTTTGGTGGGCTACTCTACTCCTTTACGGCCCCACCCGTCATCCCAGTTAATTTTTTGGACCAACGTGCCACTCCTTGGCCACCAATCCCCTAAGTGTGTCGTGTCCCTCCTTAGAATCAATCAATAAGCATTAAGCACCTACTATAGGCCAGGCATTACCCTAAACTCTAGGGATACAAAAAGAGGCAAAAGACAATCCCTGCCCTTAAGAAGCTTACAATTTGGCTAATTTAGAAAAGGAAAATGACGAATGTTGGAGGGGATGTGGGAAAATTGGGACACTAATGAACTATTAGTGGAGTTGTGAACTGATCCAACCATTCTGGAGAGCAATTTGGAACAATGCCCAAAGGGCTATGAAACTGCATACCGTTTAATTCAGCAATACCACTACTAGGTCTGTATCCCAAAGACGTTAAAAAAAGAAAAGAGAAAAAGGATTTATGTGTACAAAAATATTCATAGCAGCTCTTTTTGTGGTGACAAAGAATTGGAAATTGAGGGGATGCCTATCAATTGGAGGATGGCTGAACATATATGATTGTGATGGCATATTATTGCACTATAAAAAATGATGAGCAGGGTGGTTTCAGAAAAACCTGGGAAGACTTATGTGAACTGATGCAAAGTGAAGTGAGCCGAACCAGGAGGATATTGTGCACAGTAACATCAACATGGGTTGATTGAAGAATTGTGAATGATGTAGCTATTCTCAGCAATACAGTGATCTAAGACAATTCTGAAAGGCTCATGAAAAATGCTGTCCACCTCCAGAGAACAAACTGGTGGGAGTCTGAATGCAGATTGAAGCATATGTTTTTAACTTTCTTTTTCTTTTTCCCTTTTTTTGTCTATGTTTTCTTTCATCACATTGCTGAAGTGGACATAGGTTTTGCATGACTGCCTGTGTAGAACTTATATCAAATTGCCTGCCTTATCAATGAGGGGGTTGTGGGGGGGGGGAGAGAGACAATTTAGAGCTCAGAATTTTAAAAAAATGAATATTAAATATTTTTACATGCAATTGGAAAAAATAAAGTGGTTTAAAAAAAAAGCTTACAATCTAATGGGGGAGACAACGTACAAACAAATATGTACAAAGCAATCTATATGCAGGTTAAACAGGAAATTATTACCAGAGGGAAGGCATTGGAATTGAGAGGCTGAGGAAGGCTTTCTGTCAAGTTATACTTTAGTTGGGATTTCAGGAAGCCAGAGAGGTCAGTAGTCAGAGAGGAGGAAGAACATTTCAGACATGGGGGACAGCCAGAGACAATGCCCAGAGCTGAGAGATGGAGTGTCTTGTTTGTGGAACAGCCAGGAGGCCAGTGTCACTGGATGGAAGAGTACATGTCAGAGAGCAATGTATAAGACTAGAAAGGTAGGAGGGTACTAGGTTACACAGGGCTTTGAACACCAAACAGAGCATTTTCTAGTTGATCTTGGCGGCAATAGGGAGCCACTGGAGTTTATTGAGTTAGTGGAATGACATGGTCAGACCAATGTTTTAGGAATATCATTTTGGCAGCTAAATGGAGAATGGGGAGAGACTATTGTAGTAATCCTGGTGTGAGGTGAGAAGGGCCTGCACTGAAGTGGTGGCAGTGTCAGAGGAGAGAAGGGGCCATATTTGAGACATGTTGCAAAGGTGAAATTGACAGGTCTTGGAAACGATTTAGCGTACTGGGATTGCCCTTGCTTTAGAATGTATGTCTCCGTGGCTTAGCACTCTGAGTGCCTAATAGTCTTGCTTATTCATTGGCAGATGATAATGAGGAAAGTTAGGCTGATAATGAAGTGCTAAAGGAAAACTGAGCTGGAGGGATGGGTGTTTTCGAAGTGTCCTGTCTTCTGTGGCCTTAAGGCTTAATGTAGACACACGCTAATTCAGTTTGACCAGCTACTAACCCTCTCCTATGTGTACTTGGGAAGATAAATATGAAAAGTCATACTGCCTGCCTTCATGGAGCTTGCAATCTAATAGTGGAAAGAGGAAATCTTTGGGATCTTTTTCGAGTAAGATAGAAGGGCTGAATGTGACCATGACTTTATTTTAGGGAGAAGAGGAGTCAGATAACATATAAACTTTGTTGCTTTCATAGCTTGCTCCTCCTGTGTGCTAGCCGACATAGTGGTCCCTGAGCTCCCTGCCAAAGTCTGTTATTCTTAAGTGACTGATGCTTTTGGCTCTATTCTGGTCAATTTCAAGTTTCAGAGGCGATTTATAACATTAATGATTTATCCTACACAAAAACTTTTATCTTTTTCAAGTGTGTGTGTGTGTGTGTGTGTGTGTGTGTGTGTATTTTCAGGAATATATACCAGTAAGGTTTTTCAAATTTGTTATGAGTTTATAATGATTCTGGGTGCTGAATGACGATCTATTAAAGGAGATTGATAAGTGAAGAAAGGTAAGTGAAGGAACAGAAGAAAGAAGGGTTTTGAAAATTCAGAGAGTATTCAGGAAGAGAGGATGGTCAGCAATACCAGATACTACAGAGAGAGCAAGCAGGATCTAGGACTGAGAAAAGACTTTTAATATTTAACAATTAAGAGACCATTGGTAATCCTTGGAGAGAGCCGTTGAGTGAAATCAGAGAGAGGCACAATGAGAATCATTAACAAAACCATCTGAATATGGCTATAGATATCAATGAACATATGAATACACTGGTTTTTTCATTTTGTTAAAATTCATTGGTCAAAGGTCGTTGTATGTAAAAAGATAAATCATCATATTCATTTATCTGTCATACTTGGGCAGACATAACATGGCTAGTTGAGAATCAGATTTTTTGAAGTCATAATTTTCATCCCTGCTTGCATTGCAAAGCAAGCTAGTAGACAAAATTCACTAACCGGATCATTAGTACTGGCACAAGCAGGTGTCCAAGAACAACATCCAGGAGCCACAGAAAACATATATCAAGAATACCAGGCCATAGCAACCTAGTCCACTTGGCAGAGAGTAGAGGAATTAGGTGTCCAGAAGATCAGAAATTTTAGTTGCTTTAAGAACCAAAAAGAAATACCAGAAATGACATGCCTCAAGCAAAAAGCTTTTAGTGTCAGGTTAGGAAAGGCCCCTATAATTAGGACAGACATTAAATCAAGGAAAGCTGTTATCTGAAATCCTAAAAGGTAATAACCTATAATTTAAGGAGTTGTAACTGCCCTTTTGGGTTTCAACGGGGACCGCTGATGGACAGCTAAACTCCTATACAGCTGTGTTGTCTGCTGAGATTGTGGACTTCGGGGCAAGGGTGGCACAGATTTTAAGCATGCACCAATGAAAAGAAGAGAACATGTGAAAGTTAGAGCTGTTGTTGAATTATACCACTGGTATGACTTACTAAAGTGTAGTAACACTGTTTTAAGACCATATGAAGCAAAGCATCTTGAGCACACTTAAAATGGCCCCTTCAGTGGTCACTGTTAACTTATCTCTGCTGGGACTCTTTAAAATCAGTGACTAACGTTACTACCATAATTATATGCCCAAAAACCCTAAAAGAAAGGTGCTGTGTACTCTGATTTTCAACTAGTTCCTACATTAGGCACCTAAGGTTAAGGGCTTATTAAACTCTTGTGATGTTAAAAAGTGAGACCCTCAGCTTAAGTCCATCCTGACCCTTACTGAGAAGGATCCAGTTGGAGCTATAAATATAAAGCCCTTTAAAAAGAATAAAAGAATAGTTTTCACTGTTTGGGGACAGAAAGAAAACGAGAATGTCTGGAATATGAGGAGCTTAGGATCTGAATGACTAGGAGGGCTCTGATTTGGCCTCAAAATCACAAGGAGGGGGCCATCCTTTGTTGCTAAGGACTACATTAAAGACTAGAATTGACAGCATCTTTACATCTGAGAAATATCAAGCTGGACTCATACCGTACAACTAACCAAACTTTTACAGTCTTGAAAAGGTGCAAACCCAAACACCATATTGTTGGTAAGGGCAAGCAGACAGTATTTGGAAGTCTCAGTCATATGGGCCATCTGACAGTAGGAGAGGGCTAAAAAAAATAACTGCAATATAAATTTGTGGTCTAACTGCCCTTGTATTACTAAGCTTACATTTTTCCTTATATCAAGAAGTAATCCAAAAAACTTAGCTGACATTTTTGAAAAACATTTTTAAGTTACTTTCAGTTTATAGTTCTGTATGTCTTTTTTTATTTTCTGTTTTTCTCCTGAATTTAACATGTGTACAGTGATTTTAGTCTTTATAGTCACTATTCCAATTTTTTTTAAATGAATCCAGAGATAACTATAGACTTTATAAAAGCCCTGTTTTAGAGATGCTGAGAGAAAATGATAATAAAAAAATTAGAACAAGTTTATATTGGGAAGGTCTGGCCAACAGTGGCAGAATGCTAAGAAGAGAGCCCTGACTTCATAAGAACCTGAGTGAACTTAGGGAAATGTTTCTGTAGACTGCAGAAAGATGGCCTCAAAGAGGAGGCTCACCTGCAAAAGGCTGATTTGCCTTTAGGACCAATCCAATTCATGGATAGCTAGAGTAGAAGAATGAATGTCAAAGAATAAAGTGCTAATGTAATAGTTCTGAAAGAAGAGTTCACTTAATGTTCTTTTACCTCTCCATATCACATTTTGCAGGTACTTTACATGTATATATAGCAATAGATACTAAATTGATCAGCCACCTTGAATATATATTAAATGACACCAGTAAGTAGTTCCTATTACTGAAATTGATTGAATTCCATTATGTTTTAATGTCCTCCTAATTTCAAGCTCTAAAAGTATAATACATCTTGTCAGATGCTTCTGACATACAGGCACCTGCTGTTCCCATGAAACAATGTCATCCTATTAATCAACTATTCAGTTTCTAACCAGTCTTCATTTCAGGTTTTCCAAAGATGTAAATTGTACACCAGTCACACTGTTACGACCATTTAGTTCTTTAAAAAAAAAAAAATTTAAGAGCACCTTTCCTGCTTCCCTGTCAATTTTCATAATATATAAAATACCACATAACAATCAACTCTCAGTTATCCAAATCACCAGAGCGGAGCAGGGGCATGGTGGATCCAGCACAGTGTACAAATAAACAATCGTTTAAACCTGACCATGAAATGTACACTCCACTAAAGATCCACTCTGGTGTCTCACTGTGACCCTGAGGTGATCCTAGGTTTTTGAGGGCTGTGTCAGCAGAGACCAAGCTCTGGCTGGTCTTTAAGCTGTGAAGTCTTTCAGTATGAACCTACAAAAAGATGGTTCGCCTCTTATCCAAGGCCGGAACAGCTAAGGTTAGAAAGGCTCCTCACGAGGGGCTTGGCCACAACAATTCATCAAACCATCTGGTAAGGTGGGGATGGTTGTGATTGATGTAGGTGAAGGAAAGACCCACACCCACAAAATCATTGATCCCTGAAGTACTGGAATGAATTTTATGATTTTCTTCAGCATCTCCATGTTTCCATTTTACTTAGGCTAATATAAAAATTAGTTCCCTGGCCCCCAAGCCTGGTGGATGCCAGAGGAAAGTGGGCTCAGAATCAAAAACTGCTACAAGTAATCCACAAAATGGATAGTCTACAAACAGACCACTTAGAATTGGACCATTTAAAATACTATTTGTTGATAAATCTGTCATTAGTTGCTTCTTCTATGAACTGGATACATGAAGTAGCTATTTCCTCAATGGCACTTGACCAGCCACCAATATCTCCAGCAAAATAAGGTAGAGTACTAGAAGAAATTTGGTTCAGGTACGATACCTATTACAAAAAGAAAGAAAGAAAAAATATATGCATATATTTTTTAACTGGACTTTTATAAAATGAGAAATTTTTTAACATAGAACATCTTGTTGGGGTTTGAATCTCTTTGATGGGGATGAGGCTATAAACTGACCCCTTATGGTCAATTTCTGGGTCAGTTCTAGGATAAATCTGAAGAGATAAGTCTCAGGCTTCCATGACCAAGATCCTAAAGTCACTGAAAACAAATATTTTTATTAAATTTTTTTTTCAATTAGCAAAAGTCTATTTTCTTTCCTCCTACCTCCCCCAATTAAAAAAAAAAAGTAAAATACCCTTCTAAACAAATGTGCACAGTCAAGCAAAACAAATTCCAGCACTGCCCGTGTCAAAAAAACATGTCTGCTTTCTGAGTCCATTGCCTCTCAGGAGGAAGTATAGCAAGCTTCATTGTGGGTCCTCTGGAATTGTGGTTGCTTACTGAAGTTGGTCAGAGTTCTTAGGTCTTTCAAACTTCGCATGTATTTTTAAGCCTGCCCTCCCTCTGTCGCAGAATTGAATTAGGAAATTTTTCTATGTCTGCTCTCCCTCTCCCAAAAGCAAAACAGATCAGCAGATGTTCTACCAAACTCACTGTGCAGGAGCTGCTGTCAACAGCCTGTATCAGGAATCCCGAGCTTGCGACCTCGCTTCTCTTGTACTGTGGAGAAGGTGGGACAGATGCCAGGGTGACGGACTTCATTGCTACTACGTAAGTGTTACTGGAGGAGGAAAGGAAGCTTCCTCAGTTGTCACAGAAAATTAAGACTACGTCTGAGCAACAAGACAGTGATTACAAAGCAAACCTGGTACAGAAGGGGCCATCTCATTGAGAGAGAAGCAGAACTTTAAACACAGACTGTCCATACATACCTCTTGAAAGTTTACAAGTGCTTTCCCCATAGCAAGGGAGGGCTAAATATAATCACCTCTATTTTACAAAGGAGGACACTGAGACTTGAAGAAATCAAGGAGTTTGTCCAGTCATACTTCTAATAAACTTCAGATCTAGGATTTGAACTGTCAGGATTTGAATCCAATGATCTTTTCACTCCAATCTGTAGCTTCTATCGAGACTCAGATTTTTTAGATCAGCAATCTCCATGGGAACTTTCTTGAGGGGGCACATTCAAATACACAAAATAGTGATAGAGGTGAAAGAAGTGTTTTGGAAAGGGATTGCAAATATCTTGTGCCTTTCTACCTAGATACTGCTGTTTAGGAACAGGCAATTTTCAGTTTAATTTTTATTCCTGTTGTCCATCAGTTGTCTTTATTAAACTTCTCTGTTCCTTCTTGCCCGCCCCTTAGGATTAAGCTTGTTCCACTACTCCATAAGAAGTGGACTCCTAAGTGGCCACACATAAGTGGCTCACATGTAAATGTGAGGCAGGGGAGGAGACAGATGGAATCTAGAGAAGGATGTAGGGGGATAGTGCAAGCCAAGAGCATCCTAGGCAATTCTTAAATGGCCTTGCCATTTTCCCAAACTTTTATTTGCTTTTGTAGGCAATCCAAGTTAAGTGACTAGCTCAGGGTTAAACAGCTAGTAAGTGTCTCAGGCTGGATTTGAACTCAGGTCCTTCTAACTCCAGGGCTGGTGCTCCATCCACTGTGCCACCTAGCTACCCCTTTAGCGTTTGTTTAACTGAAAAACAGGAGAGAACTTAGGGTATCTGTTTGTCTCAGCTACTCTGACCAAGAAGCACTTGGTCGACTCTCATCCCTGCTGCTTTGTCTCTGTCCAAGTCAAGCTCTTCTCTGCATACTCCACCTTCTCCCCATTAAATCAGGGCCTTTTGCCTTCCCCCTTCGATGACATTCTCACTGGAGGCCTCCTCATTTTGATAAGAAAGATTTAAGAAAATGGTTTTATATTCTATCAGGCTCCCAGGTCATTGTAAGTAAAATGACCACCTGGGCAGATGTCCAAGAGCCCTCTACATTTTATTCTCTGGATGGCCTTTCCATAATAGATACGATCCCAGGAGCAGCCCTCAAACAGAATGCCCCATGTCCAGCATTTGCCATTTCCTCTAGCGCCATCCACCTTGGTCACCTTCTTTAAGATGCCCCCTCCGGAACGTCCGCTTCGTTCACTTTTTCATCTTTCTCAGGCTCTTCTCCCTTCATTTCTTGTTTGTTCATGCTACCTTGCCCCCAGACCATTTACAGTTACTGACATTCATATAATGCCTTAAGGTTTGTACTTTACATTTATCACTTTATTTGAACCCCATAACAATCCTGTAAAGTAGGTCTTATTTTTTATTTCTACTTTACAGATGGGGGAACTGAGGCAGATCAGAGTTAAGTGATTTGCCCAAGGTCACACAAGCTAGTAATTAATTGTCTGAGAAAGGATTTGAACCCAAGTCTGCCACTCTATTCCCAGTGTTATACTGGCTCCCTATTTTGCGTACCAATAAGATTTCCCACCTAATGTTCACAAAGGACTGTGTCACAACACTCTTGTGAAGACATAGAATCATAGATTTAGGGCTAAAAGGGACCTTAAAGACCATCAGAACTAATCCTCTCATTTTGCAGATCAGGAAATTAAGACACAGAAAAGCTAAGTGACTTGCCCAGGGTCACACAGCTAGTAGATGTGAGTCCAGCATCCTGTCCACTATTCACCACTGCCTGTAATCACTCTGTTATCAGGCCCATTGTACAGATGAGGAAACTGAGGCTCCAGAAGTTTAAGTGATTTGCCTAAGGTCACCCAGCAAACCTCAGATGCAGAAGTCGAGCCCAGGTTCTCCAGCTTCAAATCATGACTAAATGCTGCCACCAGGAGCCCTGTTATTTTGTCTCTTGTTGATTAATATCCGCCCCCATCACAGACTTCTTTTATAAAAGCCACCTCTCCATTTAAAACATGTATGAGGTAGTTCTCATCTACAGAGAAAGAAAAGCACAACTATAATACTTACAGGCAAAAGACAGTAAGTATTGATCACATGAACACTTGGAAAGCTCTGGTCTAGAAAGAGTTTGCTTTACTTACAATGAGACAGAATTTTATATGGAGTTCATAGCTACCACAGAAAGTCCAATAAATGACTTGTCTGCCTTCTATGCCTGTTATGGTAGGAAAAAGCAACTCTGCCTAGTAAGAGAGCTAAGAAACTTTTATTTGCAGCAATGCCTTCCAGGGAAGGCTTATGATAAAGTTAATTCTGTAAGGTTCAGAACCTTGGTTCTAACCTAAGGTTCATGGCCTTGGCATTGAAACAAAACAGCTAAAAAAATGGCAAATGGATCTCGACTATGACACATTAACAAATAATAGTGACAGCTTCCTTCTCCTAGAGAAGGGCGATGTCTGAACATACTAACTGAATAGAGCGAAGAAGAGATTTTTTACAACCTATTGCTTTGACTCAAGTGAAGTGCCCTTTAAAACATCCAGACAAATGGGACTCTGTCTTATTTTTAAAGGCATGTAGGGCAGAAGATTTTATAATTTTGGTGGGGGGGAGATGTTCCTGTAATTAGGGACTCTCAGGAAATTCATCTATCTAACATAAATATTCCATTCTACAACCTCAGCACATTTTCTCTTCTGTATAGGGTAGAGAGGTGGAAGGTGGGATTTATAGCAGGAATGCAGGGCTGGTTCAATATTAGGAAAACTATCAGCATAATTGACCATATCAATAACAGTAGCAACAAAAATCATATTATTATATCAATAGGTGAAGAAAAAGTCCTTGACAAAATACAACACCCATTCCTATTAAAAACACTAGAAAGGATAGGAATCAATGGAGCCTTTCTTAAAAATGATAAGTAGTATCTATCTAAAAGCAAAAACAAGCATCATCTGTAATGGAGACAAATTTAAAGCCTTCCCAGTAAGATCAGGAGTGAAGCAAGGATGTCCATTGTCTCCATTACTATTTGATACTATACAAAGAAACAATAAGACAAGAAAAAGACATTGAAGGAATAAAAATAGGCAATGAGGAAACAAAACTATCACTCTGCATGTGATATGATGGTATACTTAGAGAACCCTAGAGAACCAACTAAAGAACTAGCTGAAACAACTTCAGCAAAGTCGTACTATATAAAATAAACCCACATACATTATCAACAGTTATATATACTACCCACAAAATCCAGGAGGAAGAGATAGAAAAAGAAATTCCATTTAAAATAACCGCAGACAATATAAAATACTTGGGAGTCTACCTGCTAAGACAAACCCAGGAACTATATGAACATAATTACAAAACACTTTTTACACAAATAAAGACTGATTTAAACAATTAGAAAATATTAACCACTCACTGGTAGTCCAAGCCAATATAATAAAAATGACAATCCTACCTAAGTTAATTTACTTATTCAGGGACATGCCAATGAAACTACCCAAAGAATTATTTTATAGAGCTAGGAAAAATAGTAACATAATTCATCTGGAAGAACAAAAGGTCAAGAATATCAAGGGAATCAATGCAAAAAAAATGTGAAGGAAGGCAGCCTAGCAGTTTTAGATCTCAAACATTACAAAGCAGTAATCATCAAAACAATCTGTTACTGACTAAGAAATAAAGTGGTGGATCAGTGGAGTAGATAAGGTATGCAGTACACAGTAGCAAATGACCGTAGTTATTTAGTGTTTGGTAAACCCTAAGATCTACGCTTTGGGGTAAGAACTCAACATTTGACAAAAATTGCTGGGAAAACTAGAAAGCAATTTGGTAGAAACTGACATAGATCAATATCTTACACTGTATGCCAAGATAAGGTCAAAATGGATGAATGATTTAGACATAAAGGGTGATATCATAAGCAGATTAGGGGAGCATGGAAAAATGTACCTGTCAGATCAATGAATAAGGGAGAGTTTATGACAAAACAAGAGATAGAGAGGATTATGGGAAGCAAAATAGATAATGTTGATTATGTGAAATTAAAAAGCTTTTTGCACAAACAAAACTAAGGCAGCCAAAGTTAGAAGGAAAACAGGAAATGGGGGGAAATTTATAGCAAGTTTCTCTGATAAAGTTTCTCTCATTTCTCACATATGTAGAGAACTGAGCCAAATTTATAAAAATGACAGCTATTCTCCAATTGACAAGTGGTCAAAAGATATGAACAGGCAGTTTTCAGAAGAAGAAATCAAAACTATCAATAGTCACATGAAAAAATGCTCTAAATCACTACCAATTAGACAAATGCAAATTAAAACCACTCTGAGACACCATCTCACACCTAACAGACTGGATGACATGACAGAAAAGGAAAATGACAAATGCTGGACGGGATGTGGAAAAACTGGGACACTAATGATCTACTGATGGAGCTGTGAACTGATTCAACTATTCAGAAAGAACAATTTGGAGCTATGCCCAAAGGGCTATAAAACTGCATTTTTTTGACCCAGAAATATCAGTACTAGGTCTGTATCCCAAAAAGATCAAAGAAAAGGGAAAAGGACTTCTTTGTACAAAAATATTTATAGCAGCTCTTTTTGTGGTGGTAAAGAATTGGACATTGAAGGGATACCCATCACCTGGGGAATGGCTGAATATGTGGCATATGATTGTGATGGAATACTATTGTGCTATAATGACAAGGATGGTTTCAGAAAAACCTGGGATGACTAACAGCAACTCATGCAAAGTTCAGTGAGCAGAACCAGAAGAACATTGTATACAGCAATACTGTGCAGTGATCCACTGTGAGAGACTTAGCTACTCTGATCAAGACAGTAATCCAAGACAATCCCAAAGCACCCATGATGAAAAATGCTATCCACCTACAGAGAGAAACTGATAAACTCTGAATGATCATTGAAGTATATGTTTTAAAACTTTATTTTTATATTTTATTTTGTTTGTATTTTCTTTTGCAACATGGCTAATGTGGAAATATATTTGGCATGAATTCACATGTAAATTTAATTGATATCAAATTGCTTACTTTCTCAAAGAGAGGGAAGGGCAGGACAGAAGGAGAGAAATTGGAAGTCAAAAATTTTTGAAATGATTGGGGTTTTTTGCATGTAACTGGGAAATAATGAAATAAAAATAATTTTTTAAAAAAAAAGTATACAGAACAGATATTTACTTCAGGGTCATGCTTCACTATCCAAGATGTAGAAATAAAGGCTTGCATTGAGATGGTGTTAGTGAGAAAAGAGAGGAGGGAACAGATATAAGGAAGAGGAATGAGTCAAGGGTAACAAAAACATTTGAACATGGGAGACGGGGTGAATGATGGTTCCATTTTCAAAAAGGGTGAAGAAGGAAGAACAGAAGTTTAGGAGGAAACAATTTTAGACATTGAAAGTGTGAGGCGCTGGTAGAAAACCAGGTGAAAATGCTCTGGAGATAGCTACAGTTTCAAGTCTGGAGTACAGGAGATAGATGTTAGGATTATATAGATTTGGAGGTCATAGGCTAAAGGAGATAAAAGGAAACTATGAAAGTGAATGTTTTGTCAATTCAGAGTACAAAGAAAGAGAAGAGAATTGAGGACAGCACCTTGGGTAATGCCCACCTTCAGGCGTCAGCAAGAGAATGTGGTGCCAGTAAAGGGGACAGAGAAGGAGCAGTTATGAGAGAGAAGAGAAAAACTAAGAGTAGATGTTATCTCAAAAGCCAAGGAAGGAGTGTCCAGGAGGAATTGGTTAACTGTGTCAGATGCTACAAATAGGTTAAGTAGAATGAGGATAAAACACACACACACACACACACACACACACACACACACACACACACACACATTGGATAAGAGATTTCCAGGTTTATTGGTGACTTTTGAAAGAGCAGTGGGATTCGAATCCAGAATACAAGGAGTTAGAAGAGAGTGGGTGGTGAGGAAGTAGAGGAAGAAGTTTTTTTCTCTCACTGCACAGGATCATTTGCCATGAAGAATTATGGCTACCAGAATATCTAGAATCTCCCTTGTGCATTCAATTACTATTCAATTCCTGTTGCATAATTGAGGTAGCTGCCATGAACCTTTGAGAACTGCTGAGGTAGAGGCATCTGGTGTAGAGTTTTTTTTTTTCTCAACAATGTTGATCATGAAAGGGAAGATACAAATGGAATTGTGGCTGTATGGGAAAGAAGAGTCCAGAGAAGGTAAGGAAATGTGAGAATATTTGTTGGCAGATGGGAATGAATCAGCAGAGAGGGAGATATTGATGATGCATGAGAATAACAGCTGGAGTAAGTTTCTGGAGAGGGAAAGGATGAGCTCAAGGGTATAGACAGAGGCATTAACATTGTCATAGAGTAGTAACACCTCTTTTACTGAGACAGAGGGGAAGGAGGAGTAATCAGTGATGAATGACACTGAGAATTTTTGATCAGTACAATAAGGGATCTATGCAATGAACCCCAGTTAGAAAGAATTCCACGGACACCATTGAAAATCAGTATTCATAGACAGACAGATAGATAGATAGATAGATAGATAGATAGATAGATAGAGATAGATCAATCAATTGATCATATATATATGTATATACACACACATTTGTGTGTGTGTGTGTGTGTGTATGTGTATGTGTGTGTGTTTGTGTACAGTAAGGGGAGCTGGGACTTCCTTTCTGGTGGGAAAACAGCAAAAGGCTTCAGCCCCACCCAGTCACTTTCAGTCAGGTTAGATGACTCTCCTGAGGTGATTTGTTTGCTGGGAGTTGAAAGGAGTGGGAATTTTCTCATCCTGCCTACAAAATCAGTGAAGAAAAGCATTTAAAAAGACAAACACTACCTGAGGGCTTCTTTGGCTGACTGGGGAACTTAATCTCCAAGAGCTGAGATAGACTCTGGGGCTATGACCTAAACAATCTGAAATTACTCTCATGGAGGAAAAAGGCCATGTAGCAGCTGCAATTCAGCAAACAACCAGCAGCCAGCAGCAGGTAGGACTCACCAGAAAGCCTCCCAGAAGAGACACCAGCCTCTGGCAGCACAATGCAGAAACTAGACAAGCAGGAGATGCTAGTAGTTTGCAACAGCAGTAGAGAAAGACACCCACAGCTCGGCTTAATCACCAGCCAGCAGCCAACAGCAGCAGTTCTGGGGGTGCACAGCTGTGGAAGGGTTCTAGCAAGCATGCAGCCTCAGAAGCATGAGTTGCTCTAGTTACATATTGTTTGTTTGTTTCCCAAAGGAGGTTTCAATGGATTTCTAAGGAGGAATCAATGTTGAATGATACTGAGAAGTTTTGAACAATATAATAAGGGGATCTATGCAATGAGCCCCATCTAGAAAGGATTCCATGAGCATCATTCAAAATCAGTGCTATCTATATATTTCCCTATCCCACAGATGATCCCTGCATGTTCTCCATGTGGGTTTCTTACACACACGTCTTTTCTATGGGTATTCCCTAAGGTGGGAACCTGTGGGAGAGTATACACTTGTGTTTGGGGGGAGAAATTCCCCTCCTGGCTCTTCTTCTGACTTTCTGGACTTTGCCACTATGCCTCAGCTGCAGCCTCCTGCTGGACCTTCCTTAAGCTCCTGAGGCCTCCTCATCCTGGTATATCCATCTGCTCCGTCAGCCTTCTTACCCTTGAACAGTGATGTCCAACTCAGATAGAAATGGGTGTCGCTAATCTGTACATAAGGATCTCTGCTACATAGTGGCAGTTTTGAAATGTAATATTATCTATGTTTTATTGTGTTTTTGTTTGTTTCGATAAGTATTTCCCAATTACATGTTAACCTGGATCTGGCTGGACTCAGAAGTGTTGAACGCTCAGGCAGCCCTGTATGTTTGAACCCTCTGCCCTAGAACAGACTCCTTCCCTCATTGATGAGTTCTTTCCAAGACCTCCACAATGGGGAAGGGCCTGGACTACCTAATCTTCATCCTTTTCCTGGCTCTATTGCTGAATTTCTGAACTTTGCCGCCATACTCTCATGTGAGTCCTTCCCTGTAGTCTGCTTTTTAGTCCCCTTTTATGTGTTGTCTTTCTTCATTGGAATGTAAGCTCCCCGAGGGCAAGGACTGTTTTTTGTTTTGCTTGTATCTATATTTGCAGCATTTACTGCAGTGTCTGGCACTTGGTAAGTGCCCAATAAATGCTTGCTTTTGCTTATTTTGCTATGCTATTTATTTTTTTCCTTTAAACTAGTACATCTTCTCATTGGTAGAATAACAGAGTTATCAGAGTGGGCTTATGAGCTATGGTTTTGTATAGATACTGATTCAAAGCATTATTTGAACCTGGAGTGACTTTCAGGAGGTCTTTGATTAAGACAAGAAGTGACTATATAGGTCTCTACTCAAACCCAATAAAATCCTGCTCTGATCTTTCATCATGGCATTGGAGGTAACCTGGGATTCCCAAAGGCTGTGGCCAGAGAATACAAATTTTGGTGCCATTCACCAAGCTCCAAAGACTGTAAGTACAGGGCTAGAGACAGATCTTATGTGTGTCATCTGGGGACCAGCCTCCCTGTGTGAAGTTGCTTATCACCAGATTGGCTTCATGGTAATGTACTTTTTAGTCACAACTTATGAAGATTGTTTACTGAGGCATAAAGGGATTATGCTCTGCATTAGTAGAGGGAGTATCCACCCTGAAGAAATTGCAGATTTTTGAAGGGTTAAAATACAAGTACTCTAACTACCACGCACTGATTCTAAACTCTGACCTGAAATTGATTCAGGTTCAACACAAATTCGGTGTCTTCTCTGTGCAAGTAGCTGTCCTAGGTGCTGAGGCAGACCAAGATGAATAACACATATTCCCAGCTCCCATGGAGTTTATAATCTAGTAACTTCACATACTCACCTATCTTTAGCAGGTCTTCTTCGTGATACAAGGACAACCAAATCTATGGGTTTCCTGCTACTCACTTTTGGACAGGTGATATGATAAATTGTGTCATCATTGCTCACCCAGTCTATGACCTCACAAGACCTGTAAGTACACAAAACAGAGAAAATAAATACTTTATGGTTGTAATCTACTCCTCAGAAGGTGTGGGCAAGAAATATCACTCAGTTAAAATATATTTTGGAAAGTTGTTTGCTATATAACTATAAACATCTATGTTCACTTGCAAAATTCACTTCACTTTCCTATCAAAGGAAGCTTCCTTAATACACATGCAAAAGGGAAGAAAACATAATTATTGCTTTCAAGGAATTTACAGTCTAAGAGAAGAGATTGGATATGTATACAAATATAAGACTGGCTGTTATATTCCAGTAAAATTGATACAAAGAGAGTTTGGGGAAAAAGGTCATCTTTTTTTCCTGGAGAAGGCGATGGATTAGGGAAAATTTTGTGGAGGAAATGGCATTTAAACTGGTCTTTGAACAATTCTGACAGGCAGAAGAGATATTAGGGCAGGCATTTCAGGTGAAAGAAATGATACAAGAAAATATGGGACAGGTTGTGTTTAGGGAATAGCAAGCAGTCCAGTTTGGCTAAATGATAATTGTAGGAAAGTATCATGAAACAAGGCTGACAAGGTAGACTGTGGTTAGATTATGGAGAGCCTTGAATGCTGAGCTGAGTTTATATTTTACTTTATAAGAGATAAGGAGCCACCAAATGGTATAGAGCAGAAAAGTGATAGGATCAAAAAATTCTTTTAAAAGAAGATAAATCAGAATATTGTTGCTCCCTAGAAAACAATGGAAGTGATGGATTAAGGAAACCAGGGAAGACTTGTACAAACTGAAGTGAGTAGAAAGAGAACAATTTATATGACTACAGTATTGGAAGGAAAAACAACTTTGAAAAACTAAAGAACTGTGAGCAATGAAATAACCTATCACAGGCTCCAGAAGACTAATAGTGGTAATGAGGTAATGGAGGCAGTGAGTGTAATAGCCTTTCAAGAAGTTTGGCTGTTAAAAGGAGAAGGAAAATAGATCAGTAGTAATTTAAGCTGCTGGAAGCATCAAGTGAAGAATTTTTTTAAGGACTGGGAGATATGTGCATATTTTTAGGCAGAAGGGAAATGACCAGAGGAGAAGGAGAAATTAAAGACGCAGGAGAACTGAATATTAAAGATCAGACAGTAAAAATTAAAAGAGAAGCAAGTTATATATCTTTTACAGCTGTGGGGAGGAAGCATATTCTTGATGAAACAAAGGATAGAGGCAATTACATAAGATAAAGCAGATAATTTACATTGCATGATACTGAAAAGCACAAACAGAATTAATGCATCTAGGATAACGAGCAAATGATGAGCAAAGCAGTCAAATGTGAAAAAAAAATCTATCACATTTCTCAGATAAGGGGTTGGTATGTAAGATATGTGGACATCTAACAAAGTTATAAAACCAAAATTCATCTTCCCCATAGACAATAATCAAACAATACGAACAAACAGTTCTTAAAAGAATTGAAAATTATTACCAACCATATGAAACATGCACCAAATCACTAATAATATGGAAAATTCAAAACAAAATAACTCCAAGGTTTCACCAAAAAACCAGAAAATTATCAAGGATAGGAAAGTCAAGAGAGGAACAGTCAATTTTGGAGAAGATTGAGACAAGATAGAAATATTAATGCATTGGTCGTGGGGCTGTGAATTAGTATAACCATTGTGGAAAGTAATTTGGAATTATGCAAATCATTGGCTAAAATGTCCATACACTTTGACCCAGAGATTCCACTTCTAGGCAAATGCCCCCATGAGGTCAATAATAAAAAGAAAAGTCTCATATACACCAAAAATTTATAGCAGCAGGTTGGGTTTTGTTTGTTTGTTTGTTTGTTTTGTGGTAGCAAAGATCTGGAAACAAAGTAGACAGGGGCAAAGTATAGATTGCCAACAAAATTGTGTTACATGAATATAATGGAAACAACAAATACAGAAAAACATGGTAAGCTTTGCCTTATCTGGTAAGCAGAGACAAGAAAAATGATATACACAACAATCACAACAATGTAAATAGAAAGAACCACCACAAAACAATCAAAAGTGAATGTTGCAAAATTACAGAGAACAAACAAGCTGCTAAAGAAAAGAAATGAGATGTATCCTCATCTCTCTCCTTTACAGAGGTGAGATGTCCAGGAGTTTGTTACATTGAACATATTTTTGATGTTTTAAAAATGTATTGATCAGTATTTCATTTTTTTCAATTTTCAAAATTATTGTTATATGGGTTTTTTGGGAGGGATGAGGGAAAGGTGCTATGGCAGAAATTCTAGTGGTATAAAAACCAAAAGATTTCAAAAATTTATTTTAAAAATGAATGTTATACAATTAAAAAGAACAAGTATGACTCAAAAGAAGAGCTCTGAGAAGACACCTCTCCCAGCTCCTTTTTAGAGGGGAGAGGGAAGGGATCCATGCATGTAGAACATTACATATATTGTCATTTTTTTTAACGTGTTGATCAGTTTTGCTGATTTTTTTTCCTCTTTTTTTCTTTTAAAAAATTCTTTGTTTTATGAGATGACTCTCCGAGATGGGAAGAAGAGGGATATGGGGAAGATTTAGGTGGTCAAAACAAAAGACATGAATAAATATTTATTTTTAAAAAATAAATATACAGAAGAAACAATGACAGAAGGAGAAAGCTTCCAAGGAGGTATAAAGGGAAGGGATCAGGGGCACAGTAGATCCTTTCTTCCAATGAGACAGGAGGGAAAGAGAAGATGGGTGAAGACACTGGAGTTATAGGACGTAGAGAAGCAAGTATTTATATCCAAAAGCCTTAATCTCAGTGAAGTAGGAGGCAAGGTCATCTGCTGAGAATTTGATAGGTGAGGGTGGCTTTGGGAGCTTGAGGAAAAAGGGGAAAGTTTGGTAAAGTGCTGAGGGGAATGTGATAAAGAGTTAGTAACAGCCAATAAAAAAGATGGCAGTCAGAGGGACCAAAGGATTGTAAATGTAGTCCTAGAATGGATCTTGGAGGTCATATAAAGGATGGAGTGGGTTTTAAGCAGAAGATGATGAGTTCAGCTTCAGATACTTCTATAGATCACTTTGGTCACCCTGACAAGTTCTGAGATGCTCGGAGAGTGGCTAGCCTTGTCAGGGACTTCATTAAACAAAAAATGACTAAACCAACCTTCACCACAGCATATCTAGTGAACAGTGGTGCTCTCTGGTATGAGAAATTAGGATGAGTGGAGACAGAATTTCTGATATTATTCTTCCTAGGAGCCACTTGGAGAACTTGGAGAGATTCCTACATAAATGCCTCCATAAGGGAGTTGTGTGGAAGGCATTCCCTTTTCCCAGAGTGGGTCATTATGATGACATTAACCATGATGTATTATTCTGGCAGTCATACAAATGTAACACACAACCCTAGAGAAGTTTCATTTTAATTGTATTAAATTGCCTATTACATGGTGTTAATTACAGTGAATTTTAGAATTTTTAAAGATTGGAGCTCTAACTTATTAAGATTAGGAAATAAATGGTAATATTTAATTAACACTAATAATATCCCTGCCGTCCAAACAGGAAGCACACATTACCATATTTACATTTAAGTAAGATTTCTGTGAAGGCAACATAGTGGAGTAGAAAAGGCACTAAAATCATAAATTCATAGAGTCAGAAGACCTGGGTTTGAATCTTGGTTCTATTATTTTCTCTCTAGTTGCGTTACCTTACTTAATCAGCCTGGGCCTGAGTTTCCTGATCTATAAAATGAGGTGGCTGTATTAGATGATCCCTAAGGGGCCTTCTCGCTCTAAATTCAATATATGTCTAAATGATGCTATAGTGCAAAAGGAATGGTGGAACCTATACCCTAGGGCCATCAATTTCCAGTGTGGAAAATGTACCCAACTATATAGTCTGGTGCATATTGGTGGGGAGGGTCAGTGGGGTACTTCAAGTCTCTGGGATCACAGCAGGTGGTAAACAGTAGACAACTTGGTCATGGGGTGACAGTAGTACTAACATTAATCAGTTGAGTAGTTGTCAATGAGGACAGGAGAAACTATGTGTCATGGTTCTGTTTACTCAAACATCTATCGCCATCTTCCTTGTATTTCCATGAGTTAGGGGAAGGAAGAGGGAGAATGATTTTTTTTTTTAGCATAATCACAACCTCCTGAAGTAGTGAAGTAAGAATGATACTAAGATAACTTGGGAATAGAATGAGGGCAATTAGATTATAATCTCCATAAGGGCAGGGAACCATCTTTTGTTTTTTGTATCTATCCCAAACTCCAAATACAGAGTTCTACTTAAAGTAGGCCATTATTAAATACTTGTAAAGGAGACAGAGAACTATGTGTTAGGGGACAGAGTCAAGTTCTCACCTCTGTCTGAGTACTACCATGAGGGATAAGTTGATTTTTTTTTAAAGAGTGTCAGAGAGAGTTTGGTAAAACATTTTGTTCTTACAAGTAATAGGGGTTCCACTGAGGCTGCTTCGTGAAGTCAGATAGGGAGCCAAAAACCAACTTAGCTGATTTCTCTACTTGCATTTCGATCCAGACTGACAAAACATCCCTCTCCTCCAAGGTATGCATTTTGAACTGAAAGAGAATAGCACTTAAAAAATTAATTATGGATCTAGTAATCAGAGCTTAAATCAAGAGAAAATATGACACATGGCTAAAGAATCTTTCTAAATGGTTAGGAACAAAACAAAACAAAACAAAACACCATGAGGCAAAAGAGGAGTAGTTGCCTCACTTCAAACAACCTAACTGAACAAGATTTGGGCCAGGAGCCTAGAGGCAACATGGGTTGTTACAGCCCTCCTTCCTCCAATTATTGTGCAGTGGCTAAGTTTCCCTCCTGAAAAAATGAGGATAATCCTTCCTCCAAACTCAGCAACCAGACATTTTGATGTTTCTCAAGATGTTGAACACGGTCTTTTTAATAAGAAAATAATAAAATATTATTTAGATGCTTATACATACAAATTTAGCAAGACTTGAAGCGTTTTTATAATACATCAGCAGGAATTTACACACTTTGTTTAGACTTTTAAGTGATTTCTCTGTTGAATGCCCAGGGAACTGGGAAATAGAAAAAAGAAAAAGCAACTTAATGCATCCAAGGTTTCAAAGCTGATTTTTGTTCATTAATATAAATTATTAAATGTTTATCAAATTAAAAAGTGCAATAACTTGTCTGCATAAAAATGAATAAGCATTTATTAAGTGCCTACTATGTGAAAAGCACTGCTACACACTGAGGAAGAGCCCTGATTGGGTGGAAAATAAAGTACATGAAGTGGCATAATGTGAAATATGCCAGGAAAAATTGGCTGAAGCCAGGTTGTAAATGGTTTCAAATAATTGATTTACTTGCCCCAAGTCTCTCCCTATTCCAATCCACTTTATACACAGCTACCAAATTGATATTCCTAAAGCGTAGTTACTCTGTTCAAGGAACTCCAGTGGCTCACTCTTGCCTCTAGGATCAAATGGAGAGAGAGAGAGACAGAGACAGAGACAGAGAGAGAAGAGAGAGACAGGGAGACAGAGACAGACAGAGAAACAGAGAGACAAGAGATAGAGAGACAGAGAGACAGAGAGAGAAGAGACAGAGACAGAGACAGAAAGAGACAGAGAGACAAAGAGAGAGAGAGAGACAGAAAGGGAGAGATACATAGGTATAGACATACATGCATGAATTGTGTATGTATACCTATATGTACACATTTATGTATATACATGTTGGCTGGAACCAGGTTGTGAAGGGCTTTAAAAGCTAACAAATGATAGATAACCACAGATAGATATAAAAATGCATATATATACATTTATGTATATGCTATGATAGATATACATATACAGGCATATATATATATGTATAGGTAGATATACAGATAGATTATATCACATGTAAGAAGCTATAAAGATATACATATAAGTAATCTATGCATATATGTATATGTGTGTGTATCTATCATCTGTTTAACATTTAAAGTCATTCACAACCTGGCTCTAGGCAATGTGTGTGCATGTGTGTGTGTGTGTGTGTGTGTGTGTGTGTATCTATATACCCACACATACATATACGACACATATATGTATATCTGTGCCTCTCTCTTTCTCTAGATAGATAGATAGATATAGATATGTATTATATATTTGGTCTTAAAGGCAAGAATGAGCAACTGGAATTCCTTGAGCAGAGTAACTGATTTTAGGAATATCAATTTGGTAGCTGTGGGGATTGTAGAGGAGAGAAATTGTAGAGGCAAGGAAATCAGTTAGAAAGCTATTTCGAGGCAGCTAGGTTGCACAGTGGATACAGCACTGGCCTTGGAGTCAGGAGGATCTGAGTTCAAATCCAGCCTCAGACACTTGACACTTAACTAGCTGTGTGACCCTGGGCAAGTCACTTAACCCCATTGCCTAGCGAAAGAAAGAAAGAAAGAAAGAAGAAAGCAAGCTATTGCTATAGTCCTGACTAGAGTTGATAAGTTCCTAAATCCAGGCAGTGGTGTGGATAAGTGAACAGTGAATGGAAGGAATATCCATCCATCTATCCATCCATGCATCCAGACACCCATGTGTATATATATATACACACACACACATATATATATATATTACTCATACATACATACATATTATATATATATATACATACGCACATACATATATATGTATGTATGTATGTGTGTGTATATATAGATATATATCTATAGATGTAGAGATATATAGATATGTGGAAGAATCCCAGGACTTGGTACCTGACTAGATAGGGGCTGGAGAGGGAGAAGGAAGAATTGTGGCTGGTTTGTGGGCTGAACACCTGGAAGACAGGAAAGACAATATACAGTGCCTTCACTTTGGCAGAAATGAGGAAGCTGCAGTAGAAGAAGGAGTGGGTTCAGGGGAAAAGATAATGATAATAACAAGAAGGAAGACCCTGCTCCCTTCTTCCCCACCAAGTACCTATGTGCCCTTCAACAAGTCCCTTAAGGGGCAGCTAAGTAGTGCAGTGGATAGAGCACTAGCCCAGAAGTCAGGAGGATCTGAGTTCAAATCTGACCTCAAACACATGATACTCACTAGCTGTGTGACCCTGGGCCTTCACCCCATTGCCTCACAAAAACAAACAAAAACAAAAAACAAGTCCCTTAGGCACTGAGGGCCTGCTTATCCTCGTCTGTAAAACAAGGGAGCTGGCCTAACAACGACCCTCCATCCAGTTCCAGTGATCTATTCTGCTGCTCATGTCTGCCTCTCTCTCTTTGTGTGTCCGAGAATAAGCCTTAGTTAGGGGCCAGTTTTTAGGCCCCTGCTCCCTCAGATAAAAGGACTTCTGCAGGGAGGGGGAAGCTTGACATCTGCTTAAACACGAATCTCTTCTTTTGTCATGCTAACTTTTCTTGATCCTGTGATTTTGATGACAACCAGAGATGTGAGTGTTGAGCTACCAGTGAGCCCTTGTCCCACCCATTTTCTCCATCTATTTCTGTGTGCTTTGAAGTTAATGTTGAATTTCCAATCTTAAAATCATTCCCATGGCAACAAGCTGTGAGAAGATAAACAAACATGGGGTTAAGACTTCACTGCAGGAATCAAGCAGATGGAAAAACTAGGCTGTGAAGGAGAAAAACCTTTATTTAAACATAAATATCTTCAATAAGAGAAAAGAGAAAATGAGAAACAACTACTAAAAACAACTTAAAGGGGAAAAAAGTTATTTATGTACTTCCACCTGTCTGCCTTCCTTCCCCTCTACTTTCTCAGTTTACCTTATACTAAAGCACTTTATTATTATTACCACATCTACTAATAGCTAGCATTTATGTAACCACTTTACGGTTTGCAAAACACTTTACAAATTTTATCTCATTTAGTCTACAGAACAACCCTCTTCGGTAGGTGTTATCATCCCCATTTTAAAGATGAGGAAGCTGAGGTTGAGATTCAGTGACTAGTCATAGCTATTAAGTGTCTGAAGCAGGATTTCACCTCAGTTCTTCCTGACTCCTCCTCCAAGTCCATCACAGTAGTTACTACATGAACAAGCCACCTCAGAAAAGTTATATGCAGAGTTTTCCCCAAGGACCAGCACTTAATAAGCAATAATAAAAGTGAAAATATGGCTCTTGGAAGTTATTGAGATGAACCCCAATATGAACCCTGCACAGGAGGGCCTCCTTCACATCCCCTATACATGGTGAGTGAATGGCACGGCCCCTTGTAACTCTTCTCCCCAACTGCTCCAGCATCAGAAGGCTCAAGAAAGGGGGAAAAGAGGAGCCAGGGATCCTCTTGAGAACTTCTGTACTCCTCCCACCTCTGCAAGAGCACCTTACAAAGCTTTTCCAGATCCCTGTTTATCTGGAGTAGGGGAAGCTGTGGAGAATGGAAGGGTAGTTGTGAAAGTGACTGTGGCTCTGCAGAGGCCTGACCCTGAGGCTCTCCTATCACCTGCCCCTCAGTGAAACAAAGGTGGGGGAGGGAAGGATCCAACTGAGGGAGCCACTGCTGCTAAGCCCTATGGGTGTGATTCCTTCATCCACCCGCATCAGCACCAGGTCTATTGCCAGGGTGATGCTGGTGCAAACAAAGCAGCAAAGAAAGCCAGCCCCTTTATTCCCCGTTCACTTACAAACACTAGAAGGAAAAGTCAGCATTCACCAGATGGAATAGAGACAAAGCCTCCAAGAAAACACATTTATTTTCAAGCTTTAAAAAAAAATCAGAGCTCAAAGAATTCTGTATCGGATTTACAGAAGCTGAGCAGAGTCCCTAGCACTGAATTCTGTCACCACTAATGAATCCAGGTTGTACCAGGCAACCTCATCCATTTACCTCCTGTTGTAGAACTTGTGTCTGGTTGGTTCAGGTATGTGTAGGGTACCATCAGAGCTGTAACGGGGGCAGAGAGAGCAGAGCCTGGGACCCGAGTACTGAAATGAAGAGGGCAGCGATAGCCCTTCCCCATCAGCCCTGCCCCACCCCCCCCATCTAGCCCCCGGGGTTTAGCAGCAGCAGCCTTAGGGGTCCTGGGTTCTCTATGCCTGGAACCCAACATTGCAGGATCTGTGTCTCCCTCTACCCGTGTGGTACCACAGGATCTCTCCTCTTTGAATTTCATCTTTAAAATTGATTTAAAAATTGATTTGCAGACACAATTTTTGTTGCTTAGCTGGGATGATTTTTTTAAGCTTGCCCCAGTTGTCAAAGTTGCTGGTTATGGCTCTGGATATCCTGTCTACTCAACTGAAGTGTAAGCTTCTGAAGGTCAGAAATAGGCTCCCTTATTTCATTCATGTCCATGCAGAGAAGCAAATAAGACTAAAGTTAATACTGCCCCCGATCTCACAGCAAATTGCCCACACTCCATGAGAACTTTGGGACATTTCATAACTATCAAGTCTGCAGTGAGAACTAGGGCAAATTTTTAAAGTCTGAAATAAAGATGAGTTTAGCAGATAGCTTTGTTGAAAGCATTATTAAATTAAAAGGTAGGAGGAAGAGAATACCTCCAAGGAAAAATATATAATTTAAAATGTACCCAGAAAATGTTTTTTTTCCCCTTCTCCTAGTTTCACAGGTATTAGGGTTTCATCATAAAGAGAATCAAGGACAGATCCAAATTCAACAGAGATAAATATATGAAAAAGTATCCTGCATCCTACAGCATCTGCTGTAAATGATTTGGACAATAATTATGTGCTAACCATTGGTGGTGCTTCCCATTATGACTGGTTTTTTTCCCCTTTATAAAAAATACAATGCTATAAGAACACTAACTATGGTTTTCTCCTTCATGCCTGATATGAGTTTGTGTTTTCCAAAACTTCTTATGAATTTTCAGGTGCTAAATATGTTGCAAGAGGCAATTTTTACATTGTTTTTTAAAAAAAACAAACCACAAAACAAACCCTGAAGCATCTGTTGCTAGTATGGACTGGGGTCAGAGAAAGAGAAAAAAGCATTCTAAGGTTAAACTGTATTCCTTCTATATTAATGAGCCACTCATGGCTGATGATCAAAATCTGGACCCAGAGGACCTCTAGGACTATCTGAATGAAGTGTTGACTGCTGCCATGTGCAAAGAGATAGTGAAAGTAACTCTGCGTAGAGGGTCGATCCAAATTAGAGTTTAATGATCTAGAGAAAAATCACAGTATTTCTTATGAGTATTCCTGAAAAATTTCAGAGCCTCTCTTTAAGGGAGATGTAAAAACCTAGACAATGAAGCTTGATTAAAGGGTCAGTCTGTGATATTACTGTCTTGGGGTGGATCCTGGCTGGAAAGACTTTGGTGCTTCTAATTCCTAATATCCATTTTAAATTAAATTAAATATTTATTGGGGTATGGCTATCCATAAGGTAGTGTGCTATGAAATATGGGGGAGATACTAAAAAGTGGAAGACATAGTACCTGCCTGCCTGGAGCTTATAGTCTTAGCTAAGGAGATTAAGCCTAAACCAGTGAAAAGGCAAATAACAAAAAATGACTGCAATAGAAGGGATGTTGGGAGGCAACATATTACTAATTTCTGAATTTATTGTAAAGAGAATTGCCAAAGGAGTCTGGAAGAAGGAGAAGTCACTTCTGGCTGGGGCATTTGGAAGAAGTTTTATGAAGCAAGTGGGATTTGACATGGGTATTGAATCAATTAAAAGGATTTGGATAGGCTTTGAGGAGAGAAGGCACACTTCATAGGGGAAGCAAAAGCCCAGAGGAAGAGGAAGTAGAAAATGTTTTAGGAAGGTGAGTCAATGAGTTTGGTTGGAATAATTAGGGAGCAGTGAGTGGGAGATAAAGCTGGGGAAAGGTGTTTTGTTTGTTTGTGTGCTTGTTTTAACTTGGAATACCTCTTAATACCTGTCTCGGAGAACTACCATTCCAAAATGATTTATACATCCTTAGGGGAAACAAAAAGCTAGAAAACCATTCAGATTTGATATGGAAAGGAATTTTCATCACAGACGTATCTCCTGAGAGGCTGCCCTAACTGTCGGTATTCTGCAGTAACAAGGCTAATACGTTATAATCAACCTCCTTGGGTAAAGTCATGAAACATTACACGGCCAATTGTCCATGAACAGCACTGCTCCTCCGGAACAAACTGCCTCCCGCAACGTTGTTTCACTCTACGCAGTGTTTTCATGGAACCAATTAGCCACACCAATCAGGGTTCACCTCTTTGGACCGGCGATGTCACCCTCTTACCTTTCCCATAGCACTGATGACTTCCCAACCACTTTTGGCTGCCAGGACTTTGAGAGCATCCACATTGCTGTGACTCAAGTATGCCTGAAATGTAAGCATTTCGAGGGGGAGGCGTGAGTCAAAAATGCAGGAATGATAGCAGATATTAGAAAGTATTTGCTTAGAAAACATATGTGAAGGCCTCTGTATTCTGGCCTTGTTTAAGTTGTGGTTTGAACTTTGATGCTTTATACTTACATTAAGAGGAAGAATATTGCAATGGTTAATACAATGTTTGACTTCTCAAGGTGGGGTACAGACTTGATAATACAGTCACCTAGAGTATTTTGTTTAGTTTTTGCCCCAAGCCCTGAGCTTGGATCAGGGGTAAGGAACCTACAGTCTTGAGGCCAAATCCTGGATTTGTTCTGTGAAGTCTGGATTCAGTCAAAGGGCCACACTTGAGGACCTAGAGGGCCACATGTGGCCTCGATGCTACAGGTTCTCCATCCCGGCTTGGATAATCTTAGTAAACAATTTAACATTAGCCGAAGGATAATCTTTCCTCTTTTAATTTTTCCTGGGCTGGGCATGGTCACAAGGAGGTGTTAGCAGACCCTTATTACCTGTGGGACTCTGGGCAATTCACTTAACCTCTCTTAGCCTCAGTTTCCTCTTCTGTAAAATGGGGATAATAATAGCGCCTACATCCCAGGGTTGTTGTAAGGATCAAATGAGGTCACATACATAAAGTACTTTGTACATCTTAAAGGGGTATGTAAATGCTTTATTATCATCATCATCATCATCATTATCATCAACCACCACCACCACTACCACAACCACAAAGATGTGCCATTCCCTGCCAGCTGCCCAATGGTCTGCATTCATGGGACATCTCATGAGTCCTCTCTTTGCACAATATTTCACAAATACTAGGATCACTCAGCCCATGTCTAAAAACAGACTCAGACCTCAGGGAACTAGATATTTTCTATGGAAAGTTTTGATCTTCAGACTTTTTTTCCCCTCACCAGTTCAGAACAGTTCAAATCTAGAAACTTGCAAAGATCTGGAATGGATTTGATTGAAATAGATACTGAAGTCCTAAACTTTCAGAAGTGGAAGAACCTTATGGGTCATCTAGCCACTGTCAGCATCATTTGCATATAAAACCACAGAGATTAAGTGACCTGCCCAGAGTCATACAGAGACCTGTGATCCAAGAAACATATACTGATAGAAAGTAACTTGTGGGAGAGGGCACTAACAACTGGGAGCAGAATATGGGGATTTGATTCAAATGGAGACAAGACTACAAGTCATGTAAATCAGAAATGTCAAACATGCCAGCTGCCCGTAGCCACCATTACTTCCCAGTTGAGGAACCAGACTAAAATATAATTGGGAAATCTTTTAGAAAATAAATAAAAACAATAAAACAAAGATAGCATTACATTTGGGCAGCTAGGTGGTACAGTGGATAGAGTGCCAGACCTAGAGTAAGGAAAACTCCTCTTTCTGAATTCACATCTGACCTCAGACACTTACTAGCTGTGTGACCCTGGATAAGTCATTTAATCCTGTTTGCCTCAGTTCCTTATCTGAAAAAATGAGCTGGAGAAGGAAATAGCAAACCTCTCCAGTATCTTTGCCAAGAAAACTCCAAATGAGGTCACAAAGAGTCAGACACGACTGAAAATCGACTGAATAATGACTAAAACATTACATTTAAAATTAGGCCAATATACAGCTGCAAGGATGCTTTGGATTAATGGCCACCATTTCTTTTTGAGTTTGACACCACTGATGTAAATGACCAATAGAGGCAAGGCTCACCCCCTTCAAGTTGGCAAAGATGATAAAACACTAAAACAATCAACACTGAAATAACTTTGAGAAGAAACTGTGACCCAGAAGGCTGGTTTTCTACAGGGAAACCTTCTGTCTTTTCCCCTTTCCTGGAGTGGATGTAGAAGAGTCTCCTAGTGTCATAGGAGCTGTTTGTTGGAGGCAGTCCAATCCTGCTCGCCATTGGAACTGGGACTCGAAGCACAACCAAAACCTGACCATGGGGCTGTGCCTTTCCCAGGCCTCTACTGCCCTGTCTGTTTGTTTACCTTTAATATTTTAAGGGTTTTTTTTTTAATTTACATTCTCTGGTCTGTGTCTGAATTCAAATCTAAAGTTTACATTTGCATCTATAAATCACATTAGGCCTGAGGTTTGATTGTAGTATGGTTTGTAACAGCTATGTATTGAGCAAACACATTTCTCATCAGATATTATAAACTAATCTTAAAAAAATCTAGTATCTAGTTTAAAAAAAAAACTGTCATTCCCCCCCTCCCCCCCGATTTATAAGTTAATTTACTTGTGAAGCTGCCTGGTGTGGAAATTCTATCTACCCGTCAGAGAGATGTCTGTGTCACTATGAGGTTGTGACTGCCACAAATAGCTAGACTGTGTTAGGAGCTTGAACCCAGCTTATCCTAATCTAAAGGCCAGATGCCTATTCCAGGATGGCATGCTGCCCCTCAAACTAGTAAATGGGGCTCACAAATACCAGATCTGGGCCATTAACCTGTGAGCAGCTATCTGAAAACAACTGACCTAAAAATGAGAGCTGTCCAAAAGTGCAATGGGCCACCTCGGGGAGTCGTAGTAGGTGGCTAGACACCCAATCATTTGGGATGTTGAAGAGAGAATTCATTTCCAAGTACAGGTTGAATTCAATGGCCACTGATGTCCCTTCTTTAATTCTGAGAATCTGTGATTCTGTGACTTCCTGTGTCTGTGGCTGGGCAACAGTAGATTTGATTGTAGTGAGTAACCAGTTACTAGCTATTTGGTTCTGTTTCAAAATGACGGGATGGACTTGATAAATAAATGAGGGGGAAAACTATATTTTTTTTCCCTGAAGAATTAGTTTGCATTTAGGGGGATCCAGATTATAAAACCATCACCTGGTTGCTTGCATCCCAGTGAACACAAAGTGGAATATCTTCTTTGTGAGGAATAACATATTTCCTGAAACAAAGTTCATAATATTCAGTAATGACTTTTACTCTTTGTCATCAGCCTACAACATTCCTTCATTTATTCATCTATTCACTCAACACACACTTATTATGCACCTACTATGTACTAGGCCCTGTGCTAGGCACTAGGGATACAAGACAAAAAAGGAAAACAGTCCCTATTCTCAAGGAGCTTAAGTTTTATTGGAGAGAACAATATGTAAACAGAAAATCATACACAAAATACACACACGCCTCTGAGGTCACCTCCAGCTCTAGAGAAGATATGATGAACAAACTTAGACAAAGAGGAATTTGGGGATGGCACTAGAAACTAGGAGGAGAATCAGGATGTGGGGGGTTGATATAACCATGGAAATGATCAAAAAGGCAGATAAATGACTGAAAGTTATTCCTGACATATGCATGATTCACACACATCAGACTGGCCAAGATGATGAAAGACAACTGTGAACTGGTCAAAGGTAAGCTTCTCAACAGGTCGGTGCATAGAGTACCATGCCTGGAATCAGGAAGACCTGACTGAGTTCAAATCTGGCCTCAGATACTTGCTAGCTGTATGACCCTAAGCAAGTCACTTCATCCTGTTTGTCTCAGTTTCCTCATCTGTAAAATGAGTTGGAGAAGGAAATGGCAAACCACTTCAGTATCTCTGCCAAGAAAACCCCAAATGGGGTCACCAAGAGTCGGACATGAGTTTGAACAACAACAAAGTTTCTTGAAGGCACAGACAGTTTCTTTTTAGTCTTTGTATCCCTAGCAGGTAGCCCTGTGCCTGGCATATGGTATGCACATAGTAGGTTTGCTACTTGGTTGACTGGTCCAACAACTTTCGGAAGGTCATCAGCAGTGATACAGTATATAGTCCACTCTGGTACAGCAAACTTCCCAAATAGCTATTATATTTCCTAGACTGAAATCAGTGCTTAAAAAAAGATACTTTTGTTAACCAAAAAGCCTACTGTGTATAATATTAATGAGATTTTAGCAACCTTTTTTATATCTTACAACGCATACCTGCCAAGTCGCATTCTCTTCCGTACAATAGCCCCACGATACCTTCTAACATCATCCTTTAAAGAAACAAAACAAAAAAATTAAAATTCAAAAAAATTTTTAAAAAGAAACAAAAAAAACTGCTGATGAATTTTCAGTAAGATACCAGATTTAGGGCTAAAAGAAACCTTAGCAGTTAGGTAGGTTGATATCCTCCCTCTCCCCATTTTATTTGTGAGGAGACTGAAGAGCAGAGAGGAAAAGTGACTTGTCTAAGGACGTGTTTGTTATCGATAACAGGAGAGATTCCAAACCCGTCCTCTAGCCCCAGATCCAGCATTCTTTACTTTTGTACATCTTTACTAAATAATTTTTAGAATTTAATGATGAACTCTTATACCTGTGTGGAATATCCTAACTTGATGTAAGAGTTAACACTCACTTAACACACAGATAGATAAAAATTGACTTCTTCTATTGCTCTCTTACTTTATAATGTGTCCACTTTATTACTCAGAACAGAGGTTTGGAGAAGAAATGAAAAGTAAAGCAATTCTGAGATGAGGGAAATGCCACTGTCTCTTAAGTAGGGAAAGACACCCATTGATGGAGATTCTAAATATGGAAAGATGGTATAGCTAGGTGACCCACTGGCTAGAGCTCAGGTCCTGAAATCAGGAAAACTCATCTTCCTGAGTTCAAATCTGGCCTCAGACACTTACTACCCATGTGACACTGGGCAAATCACTTAACTCTGCCTCAGTTCCTTATCTGTAAAAGAAATGGTGAACCATTCCAGTGTCCTTGCCAAGAAAATCCCAAATGGGGTCATGAAGAGTCAGACACAACTGAAAACAACACAAAAACAAAAACTGAATAGTCTACTGCATAGGTTTACTGTAAGGAAAGCATTTTGCATATTCCAAAGTACTATGTAAACAGATGTTATTATTGAAAAATGGACAAGGCTTAAAGGTGGGGACAAGGTAAAGGACAAGGCAGGGAGTGGATGGAATAGTGTGAACAAAAGGGTTATGTAATGTCATGATTATGGGAGGAGCTAGAAGGCCTCATCATTCAATCTTTTGCAAGCATGACCTTTGAAACAGGCTTGACTCTGGGAAACATGATGAGTTCTTCATTGTCATCAACAGCATAATAAATGAGAAAAGCACTGTTGATGTGCCGGCCTTGGCCTTTGGACCATTCATCACAGTTGTAGGCCTCAACACGAACCCCAACTTCAACCCTACAAAAGGAAAAAAATAAACACAATAAGGCAATCTGACCAGAGCTTGTTATAGACTTGCCTGGCTGAAGAGGCAGAAGGGGGGGCTTCAGGAGAACTGAGGTAGACAACTTGGGTTCAGACCCCAGCACTTCCACTGACTACCTCTGTGAACTGGTCAAGCCATTTAACCTCTCTAGACCTCGATTTCCTCATCTGTAAAATATAGATGACTTTTCACGTCCTCTAAGTTTCTGATCTATGAAATTCATAGAATTTTTTTTTATCCTTGAGCAATTATAAGGATTAAAGGAGCCCCATCCTACATTCATGCTTATGTCTCTGTTTGCCACATGCTCCTTCAGAGAACTCACTTCTTAATTCAATCACTTATATAATAAGTATTTGGGGCACTGTTTGAATTAATAGGTATAATCCCTCATTTGGTACCTTGGATGTGGGAGGAGGGAGAGGGAGGATTTCATTATGTTGTGTAGGTGGCTAATCTAAGGGAGTTCCTTGATCAGCTGGTTGAGTCTTTGTGGGGAAGTTTGATGGCATCGCCGTCTGAAGAGTATGCACATGGCTATTTGACTCATTTTGTTTTTTGTTAACATTCTTTTCATTTACATTGCTGTAGTCATTTTGTATATTGTTTTCCTAGTTCTGCTCACTTCACTTTGTATCCATTCATATCAATCTCAGTATTTTTTCATATTTTTCAGTATTTTTCATATTTCTCAGTTCTTATGGCTCAGTAATAGACAATTGCATCAATGTACCACAATTTGTTTATCCATTCCCCAATCTATGAGCATCCACTTTGTTGCCAATATAATAGGTAGGTAGGTGGTATGGTGGATAGCATAGAGCACTGGACCTGGAATCAGGCAGGCTTGAGTTCAAATCAAGCCTCAGACACTTACTAGCTTGTGGCCTTGGGCAAGTCCCTTAACTTTCTGTCTCCGTCTCTTCATCTGTAAAAATGGAGATAATAATATCCTCTATCTCTCATGGTTGTTGGGAAGATAAAATAAAATAATATTTGTAAGGTACTTTGTAAACCTTAAAGCTAGATGTAAATGTATGTAAATGCTAGATATTATTAACTATTATCACTCCAGTTTTTTGCTACCATACAAAGTGCTATTATAAATATTTTGATGGATATTAGATTTATGTTTCCTCCTATCTTTGACCTCTTGTGGGGGAATATGCCTAGCAGTGGGATCTCTGGGTCCCTATGACCTATTCTAAACTCAGAATGAATTTAGTATCTCAGATATTTGTACTGTTTTGAGACGAACCAAATTTTTGTGTTGGTCTATTTAAAAAATTATCTTCGTTGTAGACTTGGCCACTTTTTCCCACTTTTTCCCTTTTTTGAGTATAAGTCAGAGACTAGAAACCCGAGAGTAGACTTTAATCCCTGGGGTAGAGGAATGAAAGGGGGATGATTGTCCACTCACAAAGTCACCCAGGACCTGAATGGATATGTTCCCTCAGCTCACAACATGGCAGTTTCCCAGCCCAGGGTATGGCAACTGCCAAGCCAATATTAAAGTATAAAGAGTCTTTGTACCATAAGTACATGGGCTGGCCTGCAGAGACAATGGCAGAGACACTCATGACCTTGGGTCAGGGTAACCGGGATGTCAAACGATGAGAACCTTAGCTCATATGAGAGAAAGAGAATGCCTTGGAAGTACCAGACTTAGGGTCACCAGGTTGTTATCAAGAGAAGAGTACAGGAATGCAGCCTTCAAATGAGACAAGGAGAGCTCCTGGGCAGTACCAGCATCTCAGAGAGTGAGAGGGGTCCCATGAGTGGTCCCCAAAGCTAGAGGAGCAGCAAGAGAATTTTAGTCATGATACGCAGGAGCAAAAGACCTCAACTTTGCCCTCCTGTGTTACCATGAGTTATTCAGGTGGTACAGGGCCAATGTGAAGGGGTTGCCTTTCTGATAGCTCCAAATATGTTTCCCTTTCAGGGGGAGTTCACCCTTGAGAGTAGCACTATAGGTCTAGAATCCTATTAGAGTTTTCTAAAAAGAGCCACTCATACAAATAGCAAGGGATTATCACTCTCTCAACCTTTTCTCCATTTCCCTTGCACGGCACTTCATCGCCTATCTCCATACCAGCTTTTGTTTTGTTTTGTTTGTTTTTGTTGTTGTTATTGTTGTTATTGTTGTTGTTGTTGTTGTTTTACTGGCTGTCCCTCAGGCCTGGCTTTCATTCCCTCCTTACTTCTGTCTTATACAATCCTTCACTGTCATCAAGACATAGCTAAAGCACTGTCTTCTCCATTAAGCCCTTCCTGACCTCCTCTCATCTGTTAGTGCCTTTCCTCCCTAACTACCTTATTTAACTGCCTTGTTTTTAGTATTTATTCTGTATATATCTCTGTATGTCCATGTTATCTCCCCCAATAGAAGATAAGCTCCTTATGAAATGAAAGGAAGGATCATTTCATCTTTTGACTTTATATGTCCATAGTAACTGGCACTTAATGATTAACTGTTTCCCTTCCAAGGGAAGAGCATGGTAGGACCCTGGGAAAAGGCAGGAAACGAGAAGGAAAATTTTATCAATTGGGCACGGACTACTGTGAGCAAATTTAAGCATTTTCTGCATCTTCTGTGGGGCAGACTAAAGGCTTTCTCTCCAATGCTAGATACATGCCTTGTTTCTCTGAGGACTTGTCTGGTATCCAAGGACCCATCTATCCACATCTGTAGAGACTTAGACAGGAACTATATTTGAGTTATATGCTCTGAGATTTCCTAGAAGGGGCTCTATATGGGGTCAACACGAACCAAAGAAAAGTAATTTGGGGCAGAGTTGAAGCAGGCAAGAATGGAATTGGTTTGTGTAAGGCTTGAGTTTGGTTGCTAGGCCATCAGTTCTAGGTACTTAAATTTTCTTTTCTCAAAGCAATGGTTTTGTAATCCAAGAAAACAAAACAAATTAGATAATAATTAAATTAGATAATAATAATAAAAATGCTTTTTGACACTTAAATAGAACAGTAGCAAATAATTGAGAACAGCTTTCCACTGTGGAAAGAATAATTAAAAACAAGTACAAAGCAGAGTGGGAATGGATAGTGTTAAATGCCAGCCCTGTCATCACCGAGAGATGCCACTTCATCACCCATAATTTACTTAGTGGGTCTGCGCTAAGGTGGTACAAAAATGCATCTGGACATTTGAAACCAAAGGCTACAATTAAAAAGTTAATAAAATTTAAAAGTTAAATGGCACAGTAGATAGAGCGCTGACCCTGGAGTCAAGAAGACCTCAATTGAAATCTGACCTCAGACACTTACTAGCTGGGTGACCATTGTGTTAACCCTCTTGGCCTCAGTTTCCTCATCTGTAAAATGAGCTGGAGAAGGAAATGGCAAACCAGTCCAATATCTTTGCCAAGAAAACCCCAAATTGGGCCACAAAGAGTTGAACATGACTGAAACGAATGAGTGACAACAATAAAATGATAAAAATAAATAATAAAAATAATAAATTGAATAATAAAATGAAAAAGATAGTCACTTCAAATTATGTACCTATGTTCTCCCTCCTCTCAATGAAGCAAGACTAATGAATAATAATAATAATCTAAACCTGAATTCAAGTTATTCAATAAGGTCCTACATGCACCCTCAGCTGCCTCTTACCAGTTCCGAAAAGTATTGTTCACGATGGCGTTGAAGACAAGGCGATCACCAACAGTAGATGGTCCCCAAAATTTAAACATATCTACCGACTTTAGAATGGGATGTGAGCTACAGAGGCGGCTGAATGAGAAACACAAAAGAAAAAGAGTAAAGCAAAAGAGATCCTTCCGGAAAATAAATTAGGGTGTTCCTATCCATTCGTAACCCTTATGCAGTGAATTGCAGACTAGGAATTGTGTGACTTAGAATTCTTTCACCAAGGGCAGAGTCAGGGTAAGTGGGTGTGTGTTGGTACAGAGGACAGTCTGGTCTGATTCTGATTGTAGTCCTAAGAGGGGAAAGCCTATTCCAAAGAACACAGACACCACTGCTCAGTGTTGATTAGAGTGGGTTGAATCTAGCTCCAGTTAAGCTGCCCTCATTGTGGCTCAAGTTAATTGTTTGCTAAATGACTATCTTTTTTTTCCCTGCAAAGAGTAAAACAAATAGATGGATTGCACATGTTGGCAGTGTTACTATATGCCATCTGCAAGAAACTTTGTACTTTGTGCATACTCAGTGTGATAATGTACCAAACTGTGGCTGGATGGTCACCTCGGGGCCCTACTGGTAACAGACCTACTCTACTCTAGTTCCTAGGGAAGGAAATTCTGCGTTAAATTTGCTTTAATGGGGGTGGCTAGGTGGTGCAGTGGATAGAACACCGGCCCTGGATTTGGGAGGACCTGAGTTCAAATCCAGCCTCAGACACATAACACTTACTAGCTGTGTGACCCTGGGCAAGTCACTTAACCCCCATTGCTTAACCCCCCCAAAAAAATTTGCTTTAATGAAATCTGCACTCTTGTCCAGGGAGACCTGAAACCAGAGACGCAGTGTATATCACCACAGTTGGACTGTAGCTTGAAGGAAATATGGAAGTGGCTGCCACATTTTTCTGTCCTTGGGCTGGTGTGGTCCAGTGCCATTGATTCATTGGTGTCACAGTTAAAGGAAATACCAGCACATTAAAGGAAAGGGGGAAAGTGGTGGATTTTCTCCACACCCAAAAAACGACCAGCCCTGCCATTCACAACCCAAGAAGCTCTTTAGCCTGTCATGTCACACTCTTTCTGTGAAATCTCAAATTTCAAAACAATAATGACACAAAGAAATGGTTATATTTCATGATTTTCCATAGGTTTAGATGTTACCCTTAGTCCTTCAATTGCAAGAGAAAGAGTTTGAGCCAAGGGCTCAGCCCTGTCTAGTTCCATTATTTGTGCTTGCAAAGGAACATGCCCAGGAATGATCTTTTGCCATCATAGAATGACAACCTTCTCATTTTATTTAAAAACAAAGTTCCTTCATTTAGGCATAGCTCAAAGCAGCAGTAAATACAACTTTCTAAGAGTGGTACTTTCTATATAAATGAATATTTGAATTTTCTTTTAAATTTGGGGGAAAAAATGAACTCTGCTTTGGTTGCATCAGATGAGAGTTCCAATTCGAATGTTTTCTAACTCTTCAACATGCCTTGAAGCTGCTCCATTCCCTACATGGTTATTTTAAACACAGAATCACCTTTTTTAAATTGAAGAAAGTTTTACATGCATTCTCCCCCAAATTGCTTCTTTTTCTTCTCATTTCTCATTTAAACCTTTGGCCATAGCAATTCTAACAAGCGCTTTCAAAGGTCAGACAACACTCTAAGTTGCCATAAAAAGGCTTGTAGTCAGACAATTTTTTTAAGCATAAGAGACTGTTTTCTATTTCCATTCAGTCTATTCACCTTTGTAATAAAACCATTGTCACAATGAGCTTGTGTCACAAGATCAGCATCCATAATTCAGAGAAAAGTGTGAAAACTGCTATCTTATTTTTATTTTTGAACTAGGAGCTCAGATGGTCATTTTCAGGATAATCTACCTGAACTCATTCTTTGATGACTAAGATTACTTCCAGCCCTTCATACACTCCCCATCTCACCTTGTTTTAACCCCGTTTTACATCTCCACTGACTGCTCCCTTATTCTCATCCTCTTTAACCTCCCCACCCCCACCTCCCACTGTCAGATGATCCACCCATTCCACTGTGCTCTCCAGAATGCCTGATCCATAAGTAATAAACTAGTTTTTCTCTTAAATTTTTTCCTTTCTTGCTCCCTCCATCTTCTGGCTCCTTCCTGACCACACTGGCCATCCTTTCCAGCAATGGGGGCACTTTCATTCAGATCTCTCTTGTGAGGGAGTTGGGATACTCCATGCTCCCCATCACCTCTTTCAAGCTCTTCATCTACCACTGTCACCATAACCTCTCTTCCTTTGTGATCTTTTTAATCCATATTTATTACCCATTGAAGATTCCGGTGCCTGGGGTGTACTGACCTTTAGAACGCTTCTTCTTTCTTCTTCAATGCATTCAATGCCTGCTTCACAGTCCTTCTTTTCTCCCCAACTTTCAAGAAAAACTCATTTGGGGTTTTCTTGACAAAGATACTGGAGTGGCTTGCCATTTCCTTCTCCAGCTCATTTTGCAAATGAGGAAACTCAGGCAAACAGGGTTAGGGACTTGCCCAGGGTCACACAGCTAGTGTCAGAGGCTTGTTTTGAACTCAGGTCTTCCTGAGTCCAGGGCCAGCACTTTATCCACTATGCCACCTAGCTGTCATGCCTTCATTTTACATGTTGGAACTCCCTCAAACACCCTAATCTCTCAACTCCTCATTTTGCTCATTTCTTATGACCTCTACCTCTACCTCCATCCCATCTCAGCTATACACCAAGAGCACCATATCTTTGATCTTTCCATCACCCCCAAGTATTATATATCCGCAACCGGGAACTCTGAAATTCCCTTATTTGGTCACAACCTATCACCTTTTCCTCTGCCTTACAATCCCTAACCTTGTTCTTTATCCTCACTAAGACCTCCAATCTCTCCACCCCTTAGTTCTTCCCCAGGCTATCACCCCTGTACTGTGATGCAATGGATAAAGAAATGGGCCTGGAGTGAGGAAGACCCGAGTTCAAACCTATCGTCAGACACTTATGAGCTGTGTGACCCTGGACAAGTCATCACTTAACCTCTGTCTGCCTCAGTTTCCTCAACTGTTAAATGGGGATAATAATAACACCTCCTTTCCAGGATTAAATGAGATATTTGTAGAATGCATAGCACAGTACCTGTTACATAGTAATTGCTTAACAAATGTTTATCTCCTTTCTCTCCTTCTTTTCTCTCCTTCCCTCCCTCCCTTCTTCTCATTCTTCTTTTCTTCCTTCCTTTCTTCTTTTGCTCCTTCCTTTGTCCTCCCTCCCTCCCTCCCAGCTGTCTGACTGTTCTCAGTCTCTTTTGCTGGATTTTTATTCAGCTCCCATTCTCTAACCTCCAGGGTCCCTCAAAGCTCTGTCTTATGCTCTCTTCTCCTTTCCCTCTATACTATTTTACTTAGTGATCTCATCAACTCCCACAGATTCAATGATTATTTCTATGCAAATGACTCTCAATTCAATTTGGTCAGCCTCAATCTCTCTACTGACCTCCAGTCTTGCATCTCCAACTGCCCATTGGACATCCTGAACTTAATAAATGCTAGTAGATTGCCTGGGACAAAAGGACAGATTAATCATGGAGTAAAGGACTATTTGTTGTGGGTTCTCTCAAAAAATTATTTTAATGAAAGATACCATTTCCCCACGTTCTGTCTTTCAAGCCTTTACAATACTAACACACCTCCTGATCTTGGCCTCACTATTCTTTTTTCTCACTCACTAGCGACTCCCCTACCCGCCTACCCCTGCCAGAAGAGCAGGTGGTTTTTTCAAGAGAGGGTCATATGTCACAGTTCAAAAGTCAAAACCAATAAATAACCTTGCTGAAATGTTAGCCACTGTCTCCATCCAAGCCATAATCTGGCCCCCAAATGTATTTCCATGATGATTTGCATGGGGTGGAAGGACAAGTTCAATGCTCTGTACCCAGGTATCACCAGTTGAAATCATATCATCCTCTTGATCACAGATGACATCTGAAATGGAAATGGGAAACATTAAATGCAGTAGCTTTAACCAGTGTCCCCAGGGTGCCCACTCCCTCAAGCAGAAGGACTGACCCCTTGCTGCCTGTAAAAATGAACTCATTCCCTTCATGAACAGCCACCTGAGAAAGCAAACAAGTTTCATTCTGGACAGGGATCAGTTTCGTCTTCATGCAAAGGGTTAAGATAACAAAACTGAAAGTGTTTTCTCCTTCTGTACCTGTCCCTGGTAGATATGCTTTGGAATTAGTATTTTCTTTTTTCTTTAATATTGCAACCATCTTGCTTCCTATTCACAACAGTCTTTCAGAGTTTTGGTTGGAAGAATGGATAAATACAAAGGGGAATTTAAGATCTGAGATATGTATGTACAGCCACTGCCTTTCTGGGGCACAGTGACTGAGTGCTCTAAACCTCTCTGAGAATGCCACTTGCTATGGAAATGCTGTTGGGGTTTTTAAAAAAGGCTGTTATGAGCAGAAGAGACACAATACTGCTGTACATCTCAGTGTCCTTCTGCTGCTTCAGAATCATATTGCCTGCATTTACTGACAAATTGGTTTTTACTGTCAACAATGGAGAAATCATTTACTCTGGCAGCAAAGAAATAAAATGTATTCAATTATGCTTCCTGCATCATCAAGTGAATCACCAGCTAGGCTTAAATCTCACAAGTGTTGTTGTTTGGGTGGGTGCGTAATTCAGAAAGCACATATCCGGTGGTTTTGGCCGGGGACAGAGCTCAGTTTGCAATGTGAGAAGAGAGGAACATCCATGTATGTGGGCACGGCAAGATCATCTGGTGTGGAAATTCCTATAGAAGCATGAATAAAGACTGCAATGAACTTCCTTTGGGTCTCAATAAAACAGCTTTGAAACAACTTTCCCTGGCATGTTCCTCAGTAGGCTTGTGAGGAAGAGTGACTACTGACAACCCACTTTCTTAAAATCCAGATTTTCATGTCTTTGTCCCTCTCTTATTTATTCTTATTCTGCCTCCATTCCATCACATTTCATTGATTTATCCAGAGGCCTTCCTCACAATGGGACATTTTGGGTTATCCTCAAATGGTCAGAATGTTCCCCGTCTTCTTTCATGGCTTCTGCCACAGAGCTCTGCCAACTCATGCTGAACACCTTTGTCCTCTCTTTATAAAGGACCATTCATTCGGGGTCCACACACAGTGAAAACAAATTTAGTTCATGGAGTTAGAGCTACAAGTCATTTAGTTCAAACCTCTCTTTTTTCAGTTGAGGAAACTGAGAACCAGAAGGCAATTCAGAAAAATCAGGAAAAAAAGAATATATCAACTTTCACTCAAATATCTGAAATGTCCATCCACAACACACTAAAACATTTGCCTCAAAACTCAACAGCTTTATGAAGATTTTCCAGATTAATTCTCCCTAGCTCAGGTCTCTCCATTCATTCCAGCGTACCCTGAAACCTAGAATATAATCACTTACTATTAAAAATGCAATGTTCAGGGGCAGCTTGGTGGCGCAGTGGATAGAGCACCAGCCATGAAGTCAGGAGGACCTGAGTTCAAATCCGGCTTCAGACCAAACACTTGACACTCACTAGCTGTGTGACCCTGGGCAAGTCACTTAACCCCAATTGCCTAAAAAAAAAAATGCAATGTTCAGACGTGATATAATACATAAGCCTTATAGCTCTTATGAAAACTATATCCATTTGACAGGTAGGTGTCTACTAGAAAATGATCATGAGGATTCTGTCCCAGTGTGAGGCAGCAGGCTCTGACTTGAGCTAAAGAAAAATAATCACGCCTCTGCCTTTTTGAGAAGCAGTATGGCGTGGGGTAGTGGGAACAACTTAGCCTCAAAAGCAGGAAGCCCCGAGTTTAAGAACACTTCTATCACCTGCTCTCAGCGTGTGACCTTGGACCAGTCAATGCTTGTCTTAATCTCTTGGGACTCTAGCACCTCCCTGAGAGATGAGGGTTCTTCCCGGCTTTGCTCATGGGCCCCTTGGGCAATCAGATGAAGGACCTCTTCTCATAAAAATGGTTTTAAATGCATAAAATAAAATACATAGAATTTCAAAGGAACCCAATTTTATTGATACAGTTATCAAAATATTGGAGGGAAAAAAACAAATTCATGGACCCCCTGAAATCTATCCATGCACCCCTTGGGGATCTGTGGACTCCAGGTTAAGTACCCTTGCTCTAAGATGGTAAGTTATAGAGAAGGTACGTCCACCTACAAGGGTAGAAGGAGATGAAATCACAGGCTTAGTCTTATATATATGCACACATAGCTATGTATTCTGTGTGTGTATATACACACGGACATACATATATGTATATGTTTATAGATATACATACATATATACATATAGATATGTATATACATATCTATGTATATATACACATAGATATGTATACACACACACACACACACACACACACACACACACAGGTGTGTATGAGTAATTCTAAACAGTTGTAATGAGTTGCCCTTATCTGTATGCTCTTTGTGATGTGTCCATCTTACCTCTGAGCTTGCTAGGGGGCGCCACAGTGCACAGAGCATGGGACCTGCAGTCAGGAAGACTCATCTTTCTGAGTTCAAATCTGCCATCAGATACTTACTAGCTGTATGACCCCGGGCAAGTCAGTTAACCCTGTTTGCCTCAGTTTCCTCATCTGTAAAGTGAGCTAGAGAAGGAAATGGCAAACCACTCCAGTATCTTTGCCAAGAAAATCCCAAATGGGGTCACGAAGAGTCAGACACGGACGACTGAAATAATTGAACAACAAAAATCCTACGCCTCCCTTTGGATAGCAAAATGCTCAGGCTCATGGCCTTCACCTTATCATTTCATCTCTCCCTCCTCACTCCACTTAATGCAACAATATTGTCCACACACAGACTACTCTTAATTGGTCATGAGAGACTGAGTCATCAAGTAAAAGATGTGACTCTCCATCATCTTTAGCTGGGTACACTTGACCCTAAAGTGGATGTCCTTTCCCCTAGAAGAGCATCTCCTTTTTTTGAAAGGCTCTCTGCTTGGATGTCCTTTCCAGAGAAGCAATTGCCACTTCCTCTGTCACTCAGTGCCCATGTCTCTTGTGGTGTCCATCAGGAGGGGATCTTGCTCAGTCACAACACCCAGGTCCAGCTCCTGACCAAAGGAGACCCTGAGGATTGAAAAAGCTACTTCCCAGCAGTTAATTCTTTTTCTTATTTGCCAGTATCTATGTGGCTACTTTCTCCTTGACTTAAAAACAAAGACAAAATTCTGTCTATTTTGCTAATCTTGAAGAAACTTGGTCCAAATGTCAATATAAATCCTGTCCCAGTTTTCTGGGAATAACGGTGTATTCTTGTAAGGTTGGAGTTCAAACTCAGGGGACCTGAATATGTGGTGCAGCCCCAGAATTAAGGACTGAAGGGCTGTAAAGTTTAAACACCATACGCCTCTAATTGAAAGGACCTTAGCATTTAAGTGCTTTCTTTGAAATTTCAGGTATGTTTTGCAGGCACATGCTCCAGGGTCCCATTTGCTGTTAGCTCAAGCTTATTTGTCATGTGTGGGTCAAACATCTCATTGAGCAGACAAGAAAAGCTGTACAATACCTGCGGCTGTGTGTGCTCCTCTGAGCAAATTTGTACTTTAGATGTTCTTAGAGCATTGTGTAATATTGACAGCACAACTTGACATTTCAGTTTCATGCTTTCAAGCTAGTTGGAAAGCCAATGAAAAAGTACAGGGGAAAGAACAATCACTTTAAAGTCAGAGGACCTGAGTTCAGATTCCAACTGTGATGCCTACTGTGGGTATGACCTTGGGCAACCTTCTGGGCCTTAGTTTCTCCATTTGTAAAATGAGGGAATTGGGCATGTAAGGGTTATATAATAACAAGGCTTCCATTCAGGTATGGGTTGGAATAGATGCCCACAGATGTCCCATCCAGATCTTAAATTCTATGATTCTGGCAGTAAAAACAACACTGGATTTGGAAGTTGAGGATCTGGGTTTGAATCTTGACTCTGCCACTTACTTGTCATATGTTATGAAGTCATTAAATATTAAACTCAATATACAAAACTATTAAAGCTCAAAAGTGCACTGAGATTTTTGGGACACCCTTTATGTTATAAACACAACCTGCAGATATAGTATGTGCTCTAGCCCTTAAGCTGTGCCATTATGCTTCAACCTGTAGATTGAAGAAGTTAGACTAGAAGATCTGGAAGGGCCCTTCTAGATCTAAATCTATGACGCTGTGATTTTCCAGGATCATGCCCTTTGACCCTTCAAGAGCTGTTGCTGGGACCACAGCCTAAGGATATTATCAGAAAAAACAAAGAGTCATCTACACTAACATATTTATATTGGCCCCCAAACAAGCAAACAAACCCCAAACCTGTAAACAGCTTTTATGTTCAATAATTGAGGAAAGGCTAAATAAATTGTAGTGTATTAATGTTATGGAGTATGGAGGTTCCATAAAATGACAGGTAGGACATGTACAAAGCATTGTGGGGAGACCAAGTAGTGATATAGAACTATAATTGCAAAATCAGAATGTATTTACTGGTTGTGATTAGATTTTTGTAAAAAGCAACAAAATCTAATAAATACACAGATGAAAAAAAGCTAAGAAAGGAATTCAGAAGCAAATGAAGTGCCATCATTTTGCTATAATGTACAAGGGCATAGTTTATTTTTGGCAGACTTAATAGTGTAGAGTTTACGGCTTTATGTGTGATTTAATGCCTTATATGTTTATTTGGTTATTGGTTCTTCTTTATGGTTATTGAGTGTAGGATTAAAAAAGCAAAAGAAGATTTCAGGTCAGTACCTTTGACATGGACTAAGGTCAAAGGACTAAGGACGGATATATTTCTTTCTACATGCCTGCCAGTGAAGAGCTAGGCAAATAGTAACTCCCAAGTAAATATTTAATTGATTACATGATTAATAATAACAAAGAATCCTCATACTGCCTCTCTCA